TCAATATCCATCAACATTTGCTCCATGTTTATAGAGACCAAACAGTGGAGGTAAGCACAGTGAGGTGGTGGGTGGCATATTTCAGCAGTAGCAACAGTGGGTCACCTCCTCTAGTGTAGATTTTTATGAGTGTGTCATGCAGACTCCTGTTCAGTCCTGGTAAAAATGCACAGCAAACATCGGTCCCTATGTTGAAAAATAGGGTTTTGTAGCTGAGAATATGTTTTTTCGAATAGTGTTACTGTGCTCCTTGTAACTGCTGTGGTTTCCATGGAAATAAATAGGAGGCATTACTTTTCTAGCAACCTATGTAATAAGGAGGCTAAAGATGAAGCAAAGGCTTTTTAAATAGATTTCAGACAACAGGTTGTGATAGACTCACCACTGAAAAATTACAGTGGTTAAGAGAGGGGTGAATTATTCTGGACCATAGCTTTAGCAGTGTAGTCTAGAAACTGTTGATATTCACAATATTTTAAGATAGTGCTATGCATATTGCAGACATTTCTTTTACAGGTAAAAATATAGTTAAATAGCTAAAACCAAAGGGTAAGTTTCACATGTTAAGACTTGCAGAGTTCTACTGATTTATGTGCAGTACAACTATAACTTAACTTTAGACAACAACTAAACCACACTGGCTTGCTTTGTCTTTTGGAAAAACAAACAAACAAACAAAAAACATATATACATATATAGATATACTAATATATATAATGTTCTCTTTCAAAGAAATATGGATCAGGTCCAAGGGTTTCTTCAGGAAAAAATAACTGCACAGTTATTATCTTCTCAAAGTATTATTGGTGTATGTGTCTTCTCACAATACTCTGTAAATTCCCAGTGTTCAAACAGCAAAGAAATACTCTAGCAATCAATTCCAATAATCAGGGAAAATAGTATAATTTTCAAAATAGGCCTATTGCTTTGTGAAGTTACAAAGGCCCAGGTGCTGAAGATTCCCAGCTAAATTACACAGCAAGCTGTAGGAATTCAGTTTGGCTATCCTGGGCATCTTTTAAGCTGACAGAACTTACAGTTTAAAAGGGCCTGCTGATGTAAACTTGTGGATAGAATTCAAAAAAAGATATGCTCTCCAAATTAAATGGTTAAGGGACTTACAAAGAAATACAACTTTAGTGGATATAATTTCTATTATAGTGTATAAAAATAACATAAATTAGACATTTTAAATAATAGACTTAAGGGAACAGGAACCTTTTCAGAGGGACAAAGCCTTTGGGAAATGGTGACCTCTCTACAGAGCCATGTGGGTCTGTGGCTGGCTGCTATTCATCCAGCTATTATTTACCTCTCTGAGAGGTGAACAATAACTGAATTTCAGATTCTTGAAGATCATTAAATCCACAATAACAGTTGTTGTCAGAAGTAGAAGACTCCTATAGAGACGTAACAACCAAACAGGGAAACTCTTTTCAAGGCTAAAAACACAGGTGCTAGGCACAAATTACACAATGTATCAGCCTGGCAATTTTCATGTCACTTTGTTAACTGTGGCAGTCTGTAACTGTGGAGTATATTTTATGTCTGCCTTCAGCTGCCGAGCTTACAGGGTTTCTCCTGCTCACTCAAATCTCTCTGCTCCCAAATAAAGAATGTCTAAACCATTAATTATGATATCAGTGTTTAATATATATTGTTGCCCTTTGGCTGAGAGCTCCTCAGTTTTCGGGCATGGCAGCAGGTTAACTTTTATTGTTGTAAAAGAATCAATGACAGAAAGTCAGCTCCATTGTGATTTATTTTCATCATGGACATATTTTTATATAGATTATGTATATGAGTGTTGACACAAAGAGCACTGGAAACCTTAGCTTAAACATGCTAAGCAGCTACAAGAAGGGTCTTTGCTGCTGTCCCTGCAGTTCTCCAAGTATCATCACATCTATTATGAAACTAGGTGACATACCCACTTCAGTAATTGGACATTCAGATGGCAATAGTAAATTTCCTGTCAGCTTGTTCAAAACATTTTCCTGTTGACTAGCTACTCGTCAGTATATCTACTGCAAAATGAACAAGTTCTGATGTTCCAAAATATCCATTTAGTTGTTATTTTAATTTTTAATGATTAATATTGAAAGGGAAAGTGGAAAGGACTAATTCCAGTTTTCAAAGAAATTTAAACATGGGACTGCACTAGTGGCCCTTCCTCCAAGCAAAGACTGTTTTAACCCTGTTGCAGCCGCAGTGTGCAAAGGAATCTGTTATTCCAACACATTGCCATGAGACAGCATGGCTATCCCATTAGAGAGGAATAACGAATGACCTAGAATTACTGAGTCACTGACATTTTCACAAAATACAGCAGTTTCACAATATTCCTAACATTTAGGATTTTTACAGGTTGCCCAGTTCCTCTAGTTTTTCTCCATTATCTACATTTTAAACTAAAGGGAACTGGAATTATTAACTCGGAGTAACCGCAGATGTTTGGAACTCAAGATAGAAAACTTACAAATGCTATTCTCAGTCATTGACAGCACATCATTAGAAAGACAGCCTCCTAAATAACTAACTTGTGGGTTAAAACAGGCAGAAAACATGTACATTCTACCCTAATCATATAAATATTTCATAGGTTGAGTATACGTGTCTGAAAGCAGTGTTCAAAAGAAAAAAAAATCAAAATGAACACAATTAAAATGTATTTCAATAATCATAGATGCTTTAAAAGAAATTAACATTTATTCCTTTCCATTCTGTAATAGTAATTGGCATAAGGAATACACTTTCATTTACCTCCACGTTGTACAACCCCCCCTCTCTGTCTCCCTCTCTGTTCCATGCAAATGACAATACTAAATAAATGTAACATTTTGACTGACAGTTCAGCATATCTGGCATTGTAAAGACTGGTGAGTGACTGGAGATGAATATATAGGCAGACTTTAGTAGGCAATCCAGCCCCCACAGAAAGGAAAACAAAGACTGGCAAATTAAATACACAGTCTATTCAACTACATGCTTTAATGGACAAATTACATACAGAGTACATAGTATCGCCAGAGGCAAGAAGTGATGGTAAGAGATAAACTGGAAATTTAGGATTATTCACTTCTGTGGAATGAATTTAAAAAAAATACCAAAACGGCTTTAATAAAATGAAATCTCTGTTTGAAAATTAATTAGAAATTGCCTCAAAGTTACTCTGAAGGAAAACTGTTTAGATTCCTAATAGGAAGAGAAATTGAAAATATTTCCTAAAACCACTGTTCTGGTTCAAAAGTTTAGAGCTTAAATTGCTTTCAGTACAGGTCTGAACTTAACACTGCCCTCTTGTGCTTCGTCCTCAAAATACATATTCTTTTATCACGAGATAATGAAAACCAGAGAACAGTTATAGCCTGAAATGCAGCCAATAATTGGTGGGTGGTTTTGTTTGTTTGTTTAAGTTTTGATGAAGTCAGATTAATTTGAAATCAAGTATTTCATTTATTTTAAAAGTTGCTCTCTTAATCTCTTAGCATGACATTTCTATTATCCCCTAAGTAAAACAGTATCAGTTACTACTTTTGTGTCAGACAAAATTTCTTATAAATTCCTGAAATAACTTTCTGTATTTTTTTCAAGTCTGCATACTTTTTGGATCACTTAGAATTTCCATATGTGTCAAGATGAGTGTAACAAAACACAAACAATGTCTGAATAAACAAACAGAAGATAACATTCTGTACAAGATAAAATTAGAGACATGGAAGAAATCAGGCATCTCATTATTTCTGTTTTCTGTGCAGATTTTGTAACATTTTGCAAGTTGCACACTAACCACACTGTAGCACAATTACACTGAGCATTCTGACTTCAAAAAAGGTTGGAGCACTTTTCACTTTCATCAACACATTTTAAGTCTAACATAACGCATGAATGGACAGCTAACATAGGATAGTTTTAAGAGAGAATAATTTCCTGTGTATTTAGCTTTAAAACAACCAGCACTGACAGAAATTGTTAAAGTCTATTATTTTCAGTAATATACCAATGACAACTGAAATACAACATTGCAAGACACAAAACATACATTTCCACTGGTACCTTTTACTTCCTCCAATTCAAAAACAAAACTAAAATCCAAAGATTCAAAAAATAAAAAAGGAAAAACTAGATACTCACTACACATAAACAATAGCATAAACCTTATATTGAACATATCTCCTAATATCCTTCAGTAACTTTTCTCAATGATGTAAAATTTCATTTTATCAGTGACATAACTAAATAACATTGAACTCATACACACAAAGATATTTTGATGAGATGATCAGTGCTGCCCTGTTTTCTTCTATCAAGGTACATGCTACTTTAAAAGGAGACAATTTCAAGTGGCAAAAGTTGGCATTTGATAGATTATTAATGTCCTCCATGCACATAAATACAAAATTGAAGAGTCATGGAAGTAGCATGTTAGCAGACTGACTGCAACACTGATTCAGTTAACGCTGAATCTCTGTAACTCACCAAAACTGAGCCCCCATAAAATGTCACTGCCAACATAATCTAGGCATTCTAGTCATTTTTTGTACCCCTACATCCCAAATATTATGGACTGAATAAGGAAAGCTCAGCCAAGGTAATCTGAAGCAACATTCCACATCTGACATGAAAAAGAATAAGCATATGTATGTATATATATATATTCATACTCTATATATCACACAGAAACATATGCGTATGCACAAATGTTTTGATGTAAAAGAAAACTGCAGATAAGTCAAGTTGCTAAAATAGCAGTAGAAGCTTCAAATAAAATGACATTTACAGTGTCAGTTCTTACAGTGTACTGCATGGTTATCAGTAAAACACGATACACAGTTTTATTTGTACATGTAAATAAATAATACCTGTAAATTTCTGCAGCCATTCAGAAGTCTGTAGTGCTGATACATTCAAAGCATGCTCTATGTTTCTCAGTCTGTTCATTTGATTATGTTGCATTTCATTAAATGAGTTCCTGGTAATAATATTAACTGTAGACTTACCCTGGCATTGGTCCATTTCCAGCAAGACTATAAACTTGACGAGGATTTAAAAGGTACTGAAATTTTCTATAAATTCTAAAGAGGTCAAAGAGACAGAAAAAGAAAATTACTTACATGGTTTTGCTGTTCTTGTGCTGGTTTTGTTTGTTTGTTTGTCTGTTTTGTTTTTGTTGGTTTTTGCTTTGTTTGCTTGTTTTGTGGGGTTTGTTTGGTTTTTAAACAAACCAAAGGACCAAAGAAGTTGACTGCAGGGTCTGAATTGCAGGATCTTATTTATACACAATGAAATAAAATGATAAATTTGAACACAATTAATCCCCACAATTGTAGGGATAAAATTAAATGCTATAAACTATTTACAATACAAATACAAATGCTGTATACACAGACAGAAGTAAAACAGGACAAGGGGGTAGATGACAGAAGAAAAGGTGAATAAGAAAAGCATTTGGAAGAGCACTTCGTTTACTATTAAAATAGCTTCACCAAAAAGGAGAGATTTATCCCTGAGATTAATACAAAATTACAAGTAGAATTACAAATTGGTTTTGTAACCCACCAAAAACATCTCTGTAGCTTGAAAAACATCCTGAGAAAGCAAATCTGTTGTCAACTAGAGTTGGATTAAGTTAATGAGAACTCACATCTCTTTGAGATTATATTCAAATGGGAAGAAAATGAAAGAGATTTAAAACTGTTGTTTAAGTTTACATAAAGTAAATTTAATTGAAGTATACCTAATTAAAAATTATCTAAATTATGGGAGGGAAATGATACAGGAAGTAAAACATTGCCCTATCCCATAAAATATCTCCCTATTTCAAAAATATTTCAAAATTTATTTCAAAAAATATTTCAAAAACTGTAACTTTACAAATTTCAGGTTATGTGTCCTAAAAGTAAGACAAATGTTTTCCTTCTTCAGTACAAAGGCTAGAAATGTAATTTCCTCCATTGATAATAATGTTTTACCTCCATGGTTTCTTATGTAGAAGTACATGAGTTTGAGCTCAGAAAGAATGAATACATATCTGGGATCTATGACAATGGTTTGAATTATTAACTCATTTATCTGCTTTTAATTTTAATGCTTATGTCTTTCAAGCTAATTAATATCCTGATGTTTTTTTAAAAAAAAACTTTCTTTGCCCTCCCCATTGGAAGATATCTCCCCTTCTTATTACTGACCTAAGTAAAACAGAAGGATAACAGGAGGTGAATTTATTTTAAATGACTACACAATTTCAAATTCAAGACAACAAAACTGTCTAGACACAATCTATGCGTACACTGAGGGATACATATATATGTATATTGAAGAAATGCACAATTTATAAGATTAGGTGGAAGACAAGAATGTTACAGTAATGAATACAAGCAAATTCATAATTATATATAAAACTGCCACATTCAAACATTTTCTTAACTTCTCAATTATTTAGTATATCAGCTTCTTCATAAAGCATTATGTCCAAACACAATGAATACAGTTTATTCCTGATGCCACTGATGATAGAAAAAGTCAATGTGAAATGACTGGTTTCAATTGCCAGTATGCATACTATTATCAACTGTTGTGATGACAACTGAATCAGATGTTCAACTGTGCATTTACAACACAGTACATTTTCGTTCCATATGAAGTGTCTTACTGATATAAAAAGTTTGCTTTTTAAATTTTTTTGTTAGCATGTGTGAATTGCTTTTCCATGATACAAAAAATCTACTTGTACTGACTTGTCGCCTGTAGACCTGTTGCCTCTGTATTTAAGGAAGGAACCAGACATTGTTATCTTGTGACTGAAGATTTGCTTAGACAGAGCCATGAGACAACAAACTGGGTAATGCTACAACACAGCATTTTGTGATGGCAATATCAGCTGGCTTATTAAATGGACACTGGCCACTATGGCCTCCAGCTTGCTCTGAACCCATGATAATTCACCAAACAGGTGTGTTTCTGTAACTGTTCATAGGGTTATTCTGTATTAACTAATAAATTCAAGCCAAAATTCAAATCCTAAGTAAAATTTCTTTGTTGTCATTTCCCCCTCTGCCCCTCCGCCCCCTCCCCCTGCACCTCATTAAATCATGCCCAAATCTCATATGAACCCTACAGCAGTTGCATTAGCATAGCTGAGGTGGTAAAAAATTACAGCAGGAGTGGCCAAGAGGGATGGGATGATTCAAGAACAGCTTTGCTGCTGAAGAAACTACTTCTGACTGCTTGGGCTGAGTTAGACTGAGCTACCTTCTGAATTAAAAGATCATTCCTTCACAGACAAAAGAAATGGACAGAAACTGGTAATTTAGTAATTCAGAATTGCAGTAAAGTTGACTGCATTGGAGAAAAACCTGGCCACAGCAGTAGTCTGTGCCATCCAGGAAATGCAACATTTCAGAAGGAGAGCAAAGAAGCCAAAGCCTCCACCTTGAAAGTAAAAGAATACAGGCAATTTCTCCCAGATATAAAACATTTCAGAAAGATCAATTGAAAATGCTTTTGAAACACTGTCTCGATGCTAAATGAAAGATTAGAAATTCAGATTAATCACAGGGTAGAGGGAAGAAATACTCTGAATCACAGTTATTGGAAGACAACAAAGGTCAAAGATAACATCAGCCTGTACTGCAAAGACACTGAACGTAGAGTCAGCAGGAAACGTCAGTGTACGGAAGCTGATCTCCAGTGCATCCAACCGCACATTTGTCAAGGAAACAATTGTTTAAACTCACCTGCTGGTCAGGCAAATAAATTGGAAAATGGGGAAGGGGAAAACAAAGTAATGAGTATGGCAAAACAACAGCATGATTTAGATGCTAGCTATCTTACTGGAGAAGCATTACCCTTAACAATAGCAGTGTTTAGAAACACTACAGCCCATAACTAGTTGCCAGTTGTATATTCTTCTATCAACTATTCTGTCCATGAGGTACGAAGTGCATTCACTGTATTCACTGATTATTGAAAGCTACCATCTTAATTTGTAATATCTTAAACTCAGGCAAACAGGAATGTTAGCTATGAGTGAAATTAATGTACTCTTTCTTTCCTTTTTTTTTTTTTTTTTTCTTTTTTTCCCCTAACTAAACGAACCAAGAAATGTTCATTCAGCAATGAGCTTTCACTGAAAACAAGCTACGATGTGATTTGTCCTGAAAGAAAGATACCTGACTGGCTTTGCTGAACTCCTATTCAACTTCATTTTTAATTAAAATCTATTTGTGGTATGTGTGTTTTAAGCTCATCAACTTTAATTCTGATTTGCAACTTTCTTCTTAACAAACATTAAATTACACTTCAGTTCTAATTTATCACATACATATGGATTACACACTGTACTAAACTGTTAAAGTCCAAAATAAACTTGTTTAAATTCAGTTGTATTTCAATAATGGGCGATAATATTAATCTATTTAGAAGAATATACAACTGGATTATTTTTATAGTATTCAATTTTTTCAGTTATATCTGAAAATAATGCCATTAGTTTTTAAAAGAGAAAGCTACATAAGAACATGATATTTATCACTATACCTTCTGCAAAAATGGTTTTCTAACAGAATTCAAGCTTTGAAACATACCAGTAAGGTAATCTGTATGACTGTTGACAATAGCTCTGTGTTCTGAATGCGTTCCTTTCTCACCACACCTCTGCTTCAACACTCAAAAACCATAGCGAAAGCACTTAACTTTGTTTCTTTAGAGCAATCCTCAGTCCCTTCCTTCGTGTTTCAGAGATTTTTTTTTTTATTAGGGGTGAGAGGGAAAAAATATACAAAAGGAAAAGGCAAGAGTACTTTTTAGGGGAGTACATTTATTCAACTGGTTGTCAGATGGATGAATGCACTCTCTGTAAGTCTAAGGGCAATGAAATGGGTTTTACCATATGGCAAGGCATAAAATCTCATACAGGGAACTGTGGGAACACTGGAGCCTTGACAGTATCTGCAGTAACCTTTCTGTGTTCAATGAAAGTCAATTAGAAATCATAACTCAATTCATCATGATCTCTCAAATAGAGAAAATCCTAAATAAAGACTGGGAAACAGTTCTCAGAAAAATCACTTCGATTTCAATGAATCAAGATAATGAAATTCTCATCTACAAAAATTAATGGCTTTTTTTTCTTGTTTTTTTCCCTCCATTCTCCCACCACCTCCCAGCCTGTTTTGGAAACTGTGTTTTTGTTACAACCTATCCTCTACTCCTACTGATATCCCACCTCTATATACTTCACTGTGTAATACCACTTTAAAGTAATAGTGTTAGTGAATAAAGTGGGATTCTTTTTATAAAAAAAAAATCAGATAACCTCGTGATCAGTCTGGAACCAGTAACAATTGCATCAAAATAAACTGGAGAGTGTCAGACTGCAATTTGTGAATGGAAACAGGAGCTCTAACTGGAGAAAATGTTTCAAATTCGCTTTTATGCCAGAGAATATCTAGTATTTCTTGACATGCCTCATGTGTATTAGCTTCATTCAGATAGTGAACTTGAGACCAATTCTGAGCTGGAGACTGAAAGCTATGAAACAGTATTTAACTAACCTATTCCTAGGATATGACTAAATAAGCATGGCTTTCAAATCTACTTCTTATTTATACACTTCCAGACTGGATCCCTGATCTACGCCCTTCCTATCTGAACTCTAAAAAAGGCAAACTGCATGCTACTGCATCACCCCTAGAATGTTCCCAGCTGCCTACCATGACCACCAAATGCTATGTTTGAAACAAGAACATTTTATGGTCAACTGATGGCTTGTAGTATATTCTTATGATTGCAAAGGTAGGTATGGCGAACCTTTTGGATTAAACTCTTCAACGTTAGTGGCATTGTTGACATTGTTGATATCCAGGTGTATCAGTATAGGGAACAAATAACCAGCTTCTAGATTCTAGCATCTTCTTTCAGAGGACTTTTGAGTGCAGTTTTGGTTAGATGTGCATCAGCTCTGAGAACTGTCCTAACAACAATTCTTTAGCCTCCTTTGTTGGATGGCTTTTTAAGAGACAGTGTTTCAAAGAAGCAGTCTAAAGGAATCAGTAGTAAATTGGTAGGGAAAGTTGACTCAAGAGCTCAATTGTTCAAAGCTTTAGAAACACACTGAATCCTCCTTTCTGGTATTCACATAACCCAGTACCTACGTGTCATCTTCAGCTGGATCTTGGCTAAATGACTAACATTTTCAAGATTTAAAGGATAAGTTACAGCAATGACAAGCAATGACACACACACACACACACACACAAAAACAAAACAAAACAAAACAAACCACATTCTAATTTAGAAGTTACAATATAAAAGTCAAAATGTAACAACACATCTGCATGCAAATCACACAAAATCATTCAGGGAATATAATTTCTCTTCCTGATGTTAAATGAAACCTAGAGCTTGTTCTGGCTTTTTAACTGTAGGATTTCTAACCATATGCTGGTGCGTACCTCTTCTAAACAGGGCAATGATATGTCAAAATTTGAAGCACACCATTATAAAAAATACTGAAATTTTGGATATCTTTTCATATATGAAGCCTTAAAAATCATTTTAAAACATATTACAGAAATTAGAAGGGAGAGAAAAGAGAGTAAGTCTTACCTTTCTCCTTGTTTCCCACCACTTTTAGGATTGACAAAAACTAAAAGTGGATGAGTGCCTGGAACTGGAGTGATCTAAAAGGAGGGAATAACACAGCCACTCATTAATGCTCTGTTGCATTCTTTTTTTTTTTTTTTTTTTTTTTTTTTTTTTCCTATAGCAGACAGAAAGCAAAAGGCTTAATGCAAACTATGTTAAGTTATGTAACCTAGCTGGCAGCAATTCTATAATTATAATAATACTTAATTTATATATATGCATATATATATGAAACTTGTAATTGGTGGAAAAGTAATACATACTAATACAATTAAATACATATATATATATATATATATATATATACACATGTATTTAATGCTAGGTCTCTAATACTGTGATGTCATTTTAACCTGTAATTTCATTGAAACCAATACTGCTATATATTGGTTATATCTGTCAATATCTTCTTAATAGAGAAGAAAACTTCAAATCTAAGAAATGCATGATTGATTCTGACAAAAGAATAATTTCCTATGGAAAAAAAACTATGAAGAAACTGCATTTTGCAGTGAGAAGAGGAAATGACACTGTACTACAAAGGTGAAATAAAGAATGATGAAATCTTAAACTCCACATCGTTGTTTTTTAATTTTTAATAAATGACAAAATTGAAATATTTGATATGAATTCACATGCTTTAAAAATGTTACAAACAGAATAATAATCAGCTCCTCTAAACAGTTTAGAAAGCTTGAAATTTTAAAGGAGAGAAGAAAACACAATAGAAGGACAAACTATGGCTTACAAACTAACTTCTTATTTCAGTGTAATAATAATGATATCAGATGCTATAAAAACCTAAGTGTTCACTGTCATTGCTCTAGGCTGTGAAGAATGTAAAAGGCTTATATAAGTCTAGAATGTTTAAAAAAAAATATTAAGAGTTTAAAGCCAACATCTCTAAAGTCATACACTTATCAGCTACAGTGATCAAAAAGCTTAGGCTCACTGTTTCAAAATAATGTATTTAAAGTTCTTGCTCAAAATCATTCATCGTGACTGCTGAAACAACAAAATCTTTTCATGTGGATGTTCCACAAAATTTAATTTAGGACAGAACCAAGGAACATGACATGTCTTACAGGAATCCTGTAAACACAGGCACGTAGTCAAACAGACATATGAAAGCACTTTTCTTTTAGTAGCATGTATTCAGCAGTACAGTGTCAATTCCATCCATAACTTCATAAACAATTGATCAAATTCTGATCCAATATTTAACACATAATAAGGAAAAGCTCCAGCAAACTTTGGAATTAAACCAAGAATAAAACTAACCCCGGATCAGATTCTGTCACTGTAGATTGTTTCAGTATAGTGGTGCATGTTGAAACATATATCATATTACAGGATGTAGTGAAGTTTGTCATATATTTAATTTTTATCTACTGTTTTAATCAATTTTAGTTATTTAGCCAATTCCCATGATGTTTGTCCCTGTGAACTACGTGTAAACCAATGGTGTTCACTGTGACAGAGATGGACTACCTACTGAAATCCCTTAGGACGCAGGTTAATTAATGAGACTCATCCTAAGGTTATACATGATCTATTACTTCCTCTAATTAGAAATAATAATCCTGATCATTATGCTGGTTAGCTAGAAAGAAGCAAGATGAATGTGCTTAACTATGATTAATTGTCTTTAAGTTGTGCAGATCTCCACTGTCACTAAGTTATCTGCTCACAGCTGTCTGATGGAAGGAAGGATTGGTCATGATACTTTTCTCAACAAAAACTTAGATTTGAACATATACAAAATAAAAATACTTTATTTCAGAACTTAACTATACTATTGCAGGGAAGTTTAAGATCATCAAAAAACAATAATCAAATAAGCAGTTTGTATTCCACTCAATTATAAAATAATGCCTTTCAATTATTTTCTTATAGCTTTTCTAAATAATATAGATTTTTACGTAATGCAATTAAAAGTTTTAGACTGAAAAGGTGAACATTTTCAGGTCTTAATCTAGAAGGATATAAAGGCAACTTCTATGCAGTAATTGGAGAAGTGACTTAATGTTTTTGAGAACAAGCCCACTTGGTTCTATTTTGACTGTGGAATACATTTCAAAATTACAATCTGTGAGTGAAAAAAAACACACCATAACTTTAGCAGTCCAATAGATCTGTCTTTCACTACAGTATCCTTTGGAGTCCACTTAGCTTCCACAGTGACCAGGCTTATGATTACTGTTACCAACAAAATATTTATGAAGATTGCTCTGAAAGTAATGCCTCTTATTTGTTTCAATGGAAACTATAACAGATGCAAAAAGCATATTGACACTATTTGATAGAGCAAATTCTCAGCTTCAAAACACTATTTTTTTCAACAGTCACCATTATTAGTTATGCATTTTCACCTGGGATGTACATGCTGCACTTATAAAAATCTATACCTGACAATGAAATGACAAGCAGTTTCAAAGCTGCTATGATGGCCTTGCAGATAGGAAAATGTTGCCCACGAAGTCCATCTTGTATTGGTCTAGAACGATGGAAGTCAGAAGACTATATCCAGACTATACAGCGGGTGTGGAAGAGCAGTCTAGCCAAGATTGGCAGTGCACTCCATGGTCTTCAAACTGATATGAGGCTTGGCATTATCATGTTAAAAGATAAAATTTGTCGTCTTTCTCCAACCTGACTGGAAGTTTGTGCCTTCATCATATCCAGTGTTGCAATGTAGTGGTCAGAGTTGATTGTATGTCTGGGTTTCAGGAAATGTGGAAGGATCACAACTTTCCTATCCCAAAAGACAGCACATGTCACTTAACCCATTGAGAGCTGCATCTTGAACTTTTCCTTTAATGGGGAAATCATGTCACCACTTGATGGACTGCTGTTTTGACTCCAGCTCACAGTGGTGACATCAGATCTTGTCACTGGTAATGATGCAGTCCAGGAAACTGTCACCTTCAATCTTGTAATGGTTCAACAGGACCTGATAAACTTGTATATTGCATTCTTTCTGTACCTGTGTGAGAATCTGTGGGGCCAACCTGGCACAAACTGATATTCCAACATTGCCACCATTTCCAATGCACTGAAGATAATATTCAGCTACACATACACTTCCATGGTTGTAATCCACTGAATTGTGCAGATGAGTTTATCAACTTGCTTTCCATTTCACTGAGAGACAGCTGCGCGTGGCTGTCCAGAACATGCTTATCATTCACAGTGCTGTTGACACTACTGAAACACATCGCTCACCACTTCACTGTGCTGCCATCCACTGTTTGGTCTCTATAGACGCTCAGTAAGTGTCGATGAATATCAGTGGGTGCCATTTTTTCTGCATGAATGAATTCAGTTTCACATCTTTGCTTCATCTGCACTTCCATGTCAGATGCCATTCTGTCAGGCTGCTGCTCTGCTGCCATCTACCACGTGGCAACAAAATTTAAGGGAATACTGGCAGAAAGGTTCAACTTCTACAGCCATTCCACCAATACCTGCCTCTGACGATGTGGGCCAACATAACAAAATAGGAGGCATTACTTCCAGAACAGGCCTTGCAATTTTTTGTGCAAAGAAGGATTCTTATTACTTCAATTTTATTTAACAAACAATGACTATACTAAGATCAGAAAATTAAAGACATCATTGCAGAATTATCTCTAATGCTATCAGCATCATACGATCCTTTGTAAACAATAATAAATGCAATTACAAATTCCAAGTTTTGGATTCATAATGGAAAGAGAGAAGTTTTAGCTCACAATAACAAAATTACAGAAAATCTAATGCCATAATTATCTTAAAGATGATTTTAATAATTTAAGAATGTTGCATATGCAAAAGTGGTGCTAAGAGATTACTATTTTGAACCTCTCAGGCACTGTATCACAGGAGTGTGAAATACTGACTTGAATGATTGCAGAAAACAAGCTATGAGCATAAGCAATCTAATACTAGAAGTAAAACCAAAAATCATAATGATACATTGCTACCAAAAGATTTCAAAAGATACTCTTCTACCTAGAGCTTTTGTGCTCACTGGAAGCATACTTAGAAAACACACAGTTTTCTAACTTCCAGTACCATTCTATTAAAACTACAATTTACACTGTCTGACAGAGCTTGAGTACTCCATCAGAAAATACTCTAGCCCTTTTGCTTTATGCTCTGTCTGTCTCAAATGATCTGAACAGTAATGCGGCCTATGAGGATGGCAAGTATAGGAAGATAGAACTGAGAGCCATGGGTAATGACTACCATAGTATAATGCTAGGTCATCAACAGAGCATTCATGAGGCTGAATAAGTTTTATCCTTCTTTCTTTTTTCCCTTTGAGTTGTGACAAAAAAAATGTTTCACTAACCTAAAAAGAGGAAATATTATGTCTTTCTATACAGGCAAAATAGTATACATTATGAAATAATTATAAAGTATTCAGTGTTCGATCTATGATAACAGAATCCTTTTTACTGAAGCTCAGTTGTAGCACATCAAAAGGAAGAGAGAACAGTCTACTATGTTTAGTAAATAATTATCACATAGTTATCACAATAATCATTTAACTCAAGAAGAATCATCACATACGTGAACACTGACATTATTCTATAGTAGTATTGCTACTACTGAAACCCATCTTGCCTTTCTCCACCTTGAATTTTGGTGTACCGAATTCCCTACTTGGCAATACCTGGAGAAATAACATCTTTGAAATTTAATCCATCCATCTTTCAGTTAAAAGGTGAAAATGGGATGAATCAACTCTAACCAAGTAATAGATTTATAGCATAAATTCAAAAAATTGTTGAATTACAAACACTAAAATAATCAAATCCACCTTCACTCATGGCTTTACAGCTAATGTTTGCCCCTCACCTCAATAAGTCCTACCAATCATATGAGAAGCAGAGGATTTGCATGGGATCACTGTACAGATGGAAGAATTTAGGTTATTGTTATTTTTTTTTTTAATATGTAAGAATGAAATATTAGAAGAACTAATGCATAGAAAGTATTTCTCTTTAAAGATTGGTTACTCTATTGTTGTCTTCATATCTCTTAAAATTAAAATAACAATAATCACACCTGAAGACCTTGTCCATCTACGGTGATGGAATTTGCTCTCTGCATTTTGTTTCGTTCTCCCAGTTTGTTCATTTGCTGGGGACAACCTTTTTCTTTTTTCACCGTTGCCTGCCTTTCCTTCAGAAAAAAAAGAAAAAAAGAGAAAATTAAACATTTAAACACATTATATAATGCTACTAAATGATAACTAAGATCACACCTCTATGCTTTTGGACTAGAAAGTAATGTCAGATTCTGCTTTAATGAAAATGTGATCTCAGTCAAGCTACTACACAATGACTGTCCACCACAAAATATCTATTTGCCTGGACATTTCATAATGACTAGGCAGTAGATGGATAAAGGTGTGTAGTCACAAAACAAATTAATGCAATATGAAAAGATAATCTGACATTGCTAGGTTGGCATTCTGAAAATTAAAACCAATTATACAAAATATGTCATCATTTAACAGATCAGTTATATTTCACAATTTCTAACTGCTAACAAAGGCTGGATATTTCAATAGTATTTCACCACTTTCAACGAAATATACCTGTTCTAAAAGTATCATGATCATTTGACTGTCTATCTGTAAGAGGCTGACCTTTAAAGTAACTTTTTATAAAAAAGGCATTTTGTATCAGAAGGAAACCAGCTGAAGTTGTGATTCTACATTAGATTCTAAGCAGCTGTCAGCTTCTGATGGTGATATACAGCACAATCAGATTGTTTTTTGAAAGAGAAACGCTTAGAAGTTTGTGTGTTGTTGTCATCACATTTGCAACTCTTGTCAGGTCATTTCAGAAAACTCTGAAAGCAAAAATTGTCCTTGCTCTTTGCATGTCATTTATCCTATTTATAAACTGCACCCAGCATGTCCTTTTAGTTTGTCCAAAAATGCACCATAAATTAAGACAAGCAGATGTTTGTCAAATAGAATCAGTAAAACTAATCCTGACCGCTCTCCAGCCACTCTCCTCACTTCACATGAGCGAGGAGGCTTTCAATTGTCAGGGGAAAGGGCTGGCACAAAGCTGCTGCACTGGAAAAGAACATGAAGGACACTGTTGCATCCCCTGCAATTGCTTTCTATAAATATTTCATTAAACATTAACCATTTACATTCCATACCAGCTCAAATCCATCTCTGGGGTACCTCTGATAAAGCCTGAGGGATTGCACACACAATTAATCCATGTCACTTTTTCTCTAGCAGTTTAAACTGGTAAGAAGCAATGACACAGATTCCCCGTGGAGGAATGGAATAGATCCTAGCTTAACACTATGCCTTTCCAGAATCACCATAACACAGATGTTTCTCACCACTGTTTTTCTATCATCGTTGGTTTCCTTAAATTTGAACACCACTCTAGTCTCAATCTAATCCTGAAGCAAACAGTGGTCCAAGTCACCCCTGACTGTTCTGGATAGTCAGGCACTTTGCAGAACTGTGGCAATATGCTGATGATACCAACATGTGAGGAGTGGCTGACACATCAGAAGGCTGCACAGCCATTCAGCAAGACGAGGGCAAGTGGAGTGTTAAGTGGAGAGAAAGCTAACAAGGTTCAACAAGTGCAAATGTAGAGTCCTACGCATGGGACTGGTATAGATCAGAGGCTGACCTGCTAGAAAAGGAGCTCTGCAAAGAAGTTTCTGGGTTCCCCGGTGGACAGCAAATCAACTATGAGCCAACAGTACGCCGTTGTGGCCACGAAAGACAATAAAAAAAGGCATGGTCAGAGGGTTGAGGGAGGTGACATCTGGAGTTCTTGGCTCTCTTCTAGAAAGAGTCTAGTAGGGATCCACAAAGACGATGAGGAGCCTGGAGCATCTCCCTTATGAGGAAAGGCTGGGAGACCTGGGATTGTTCAGCCCAAAGCAGAGAGAACTGAGAAGGGATCTTATCAATGTTTATAAATATCTAAAAGGCATTTGTCAGGAGGATGGGTACAAGCTAATTTCAGTGATGCTCAGCAACAGAACAAGAGGCAACTTGCACAAATTGGAACACATGAAGCACCAATTGAACATGAGAAAATGCTTCTTTACTTAGAGAGTGACAGAGCACTGGAAAAAGCTACCCAGAGAGATAGTAGAGTTTCCTTCTCTGGAGATATTCAAAACCCACTTGGATACTTTCCAGTGCAACCTACTCTAGGGAACCAGCATTAGTACAGTGGAGCTGGACTAGAACTCCAAAGGTCCTTTCTAATCCCTGTGATTCTACGATTCTATAATTAATTACCTATAAAAGGCAATCTAAAAAAACTATGTTTCAGGAAATAAATGAGGGAGTCCACGCAAGGAGACTTCTAAGAAGTTAGTTAACAGAGTTCTTGGAGACTTTGAATAACCTGACTATTTCAAAAGGAGATCCAAGCGTCTAGACTACCATGTCATTGCTTTACATAGAAAACAGTAGAAACAACTAAAGCAATGAAAATCAGCCCTAAGTTTTAGAATGCTGTCTGAGAATTCAGCAGCTCTGTGTTTATGTGCTTCATGATTTTTAGAAAATAGAACTAGTTTCTAAGGCATCTGTTTCTGACTAGTTTTTGAGCACGCAAACAGAGTGCTTGTGAACTAATACAAATGCCCAATGATATTGGTTAGTGCTAAAGTATGAAACTTCAGTGTGAAGGAAACTTCATAACTCAGTACATATTTAAAAAGTAGCTTTGATGTTTCAAACAACTCTACTCTTAAAAGTAAACACACTTTATATAAATTGAGTATAACACCATAAACAGAATTTTATATTATCTAATCTTATAAGGCCAAAACTGGATATTGCAAAATATTCAGAAATTAAATGAGATTTCAGAAGTGCAAACACATGAATAGTATAAAATTGCAATTCATAACAAAAATTACAGAAGGAGAGAGGATTTTTTAAAAGTCTAGACAGTTCAAAATTAACAGAAAGGAACAGATTTGACATATAGAGGATGGGTATTTTAAAAGCTTAAAAACACCATTCAAAAGAGACCTTATAAAGTGTGGCATCAAAATTCTTCTTTTACCTAGAGAAAAAGTATTTATATGCTGTTGAAAACTGTCTTTACATTAAGGATGCTTACCACAATAACGAAAACTTCTGTTATCAACCATTTTTGACCAAAATCCAGTAACAATTACTTTAAAGTAAATTTTTGATACTGTTCTTTGTCCTAGCATGAAACAAGACAGCAAATATCCTCATTTGGCCTGGGCTCCATGACTGCTGGAACAACAACATGCTTTCCACAATTTACATTACCTGTCCCACAAGAAAAACAATTGCTTGCCTTACAGATCAAAACAATTCCTCCTGAGCAGTGACCATAAAAATCAGGCCATATACTCCACACAATTTAAAGGAAAAGGTATATTCTTGATATAGAATTCCCTAAAGTGTTATAAAAAAATCAAATATGGATATTTGATGACACCATACTTGAAGGTCTACTTTTCCAAAGAGCACTAATATAGTGTTTCCTATCATCCCTCTTTCTATCAGGAACCACAGTGTAACACTACTAAGATATCCAAGATTGTCAGGAACTAACAAGTGCCATTCTCATATCAAGTCATAACAGTTTAACAAAAACTTCTTTGGATAATATTCTACAAGCTCTAGCAACGTTAACATAAATTTAACATGCACTGAGGAAATGGTTTTAAAAATGCAAACATTTATTTTTCAGCATAAGAAATACTGACACAACAACTGTGCTGTATTTAATATCTTTTCTAATTGAAGCATACAAAATGAACAATGCATCTGTGAATGACTTTGTTTAGTGAACATGCATGAGGTTGACAGAGATATTGAATACAGCATTTTAAAAGCTATTGTACATTTTGATGGCTCAAAGAATTGTGAACTTTTCTGTTCTTTTGGCATATGCGAGAGCAAATACCTTTCAAAACAGTACTTACCAAAAAAATATTTTCCACCCATTTTTAAACATCTCACACTCTCTTTTCTCCCCTTGAACTCCCACACTGAGATCACTACCCATTAACTGAGAGGATGGAGCTTCTAGGATTCAGAACTGCTCCAGAAAGCACCATCAGATAATAACTACCCAGTTGTATCTATCTTTCACTAATCCAAATAAGAATTAAAGAATTGATGAGACAGGGCCTTCCAAACGACAACACAGAACACCATGCCTAGATTTATAGTTCAGCCCCAAAATGCACTTTTAGCAAGAAAAATGTACATTATCATGATCCGTTAGTATTTGTGCACACAAGGATGCCTCCCATTACGCACCTCAGGGAGCAAACCTCCTAAAGTGGGTAGCGTCTGTTGGAAAAAAAGAAGGTTAGGCTTCAGTACCAAACAGCTGAGATGGCAAGGGGCACTGCAAGAGCTCTCACGAGGAACCTTACCTTGCAGCAGTTGTATTCCACAACTAATGTACATTGTGCTTCACCCCCACCCCTGCAATGTATTTGCACATCCTGAAACATTACTCCCCTAGTGTTTTACATTACATAATTCATATTCCAGGAATAGTATGTATGATCATTTTATCAATAACTGAAAGTATTATGAAATCTGAGAACTATACTACTTCATACAATAAAATAAGGTACTTGGTACTTAGGGAATGCTCTATTTCATCTTCTAAGTCTTTGAAACCTCATTCAGTGTAACTTATTTACAAAGTTCTCTTCTATTAAAGTGGACAAGGTATAAAATATATACAATCTAAACAGTATTTCTACCCTTTCTTTGCATAAACAGTCTTTTCCTTTACACAAAAGTGACATTTAGAAATATGAAACTCATGAGAAAACAGAATAGAATACTAATGGCTTACTAATTATCTGTTTACATTTTATCTGCTGACATGGAATCCACTGCCTATACAGCAAAAATTATTTTTTTCCACCTTCTCTCTTATTCAATTTGTATGAATCTGTAGTTTTCTTAATTGTTTTGAAAACAACTGTGATAATACATAACAGTACATTTTTAGAATTTGTACATTAAATATACTCAACTAATAGTTACTAATACTAATATTCACTAATGGTTTTATATCATTACACAATTTGCCAAGTAACTACTGAAAACATCACATGATTTCTGTATACTTTTACAGTATACACCTACAGATAATGTATGTACTTAAAAGCCCAGAATATGTGTGCATAAGATATATTTATCAGAGGAATCTGATCATGGAAGATGATCTGATGGAATCCACAGAATGTCATGCAAAAATATCCTCAAATGTTTGCAGCACGAAGGTAATGGAAATAAACACACGTCTTAATACCAGACTGAAGTTTAGAGTTTTTTAAATAAATTGGAGGAAGGTTGGGTTGGTGTTCTTTAAAGGATGGTCCTTGACTCCATAGAGCTACTTTTTTTAGTGGGAGTCTCCAAGACATGCAAAATTTCATCTTTAGTATGCAAAGAGATATTAGATCAAGTACTCCTACACTCACTGTCATTTTGTAGATCTATGCTGTATTCAAGAGTCTGCTTATAAAAATTCTCATCCACTTAATTCCTGCCCACAGTTATACAGTATCTGAAGAGAATCAGTCAGACAATCTGAAAACCAAAAATGAGCCCCGCCAACACACACACACACACACAAGAAAAAAAAAAAAAAAAAAAAAAGCAAAACAAAAAAACCCAAAGCCAAATCAATCAAACAAACAAAACAGAAAAACAGAAACTAACAATAAACAAACTAAAAAATACCCTAGGGTGCAATCTATTTGTAATAGCTATTTGATGTTACATCCATCTATGATTTAGATGCATCTGTAATTATATATGCGTGTGTGAATACACACACACACACATTGCACCACACAATCTGAAGGATGTAAATATATTTCAATCATTAGTACCCTTAATATATGAAAAAAAATAGCTCTAGATTGGAGACTGTCATTTGGGAATGCTCTCTAAAATATTTCTCTGATTCAAAACAAGACTGCTCTCAACAAGGAACTGCTATATGGTAACCTTATATACACATTACATTACTTGTTTAATATATCTTAATAAAGATGGAATGTATCACATATCAAAATTACTATCAAGTATTCCTCATTTAGCATGTTTGTCCTAGTTCATTTAGTTTGTTGAAGATAACTTGCCTGTTATCTTGCACCCACTGAATGTTATCATCAGCATGCTCCAACACTACAACGAAAACTTATTTTACTTGCAACCTAAAATGAACTTGTGCTATAGTAGGCAGTAATACACATTGTCTGAGAGAGAGCTGCAAAAATAATTTGAAAATATACTTACTAGATCCTTACTTACAAGGTCCTGTACTTGGGTGAGGGCAATCTCAAACAAGAATACTGATTGGGTGATGAGCAGATAAAGAACACCCTATGGGAAAGGACTTGGGGGCACTGGTGGATGTACTGGTGAACATGAACCAGTACTGTGCACCTGCAACTCAGAAAGCCAACTGTACCCTGAAGTTCATCAAAAGAGGGGTGGCCAGCAGAGAGAGACTGTACCCTCCTCTACTCTGACTTTGTGAGGCCCCTATCTGGAGTACTGGGTTCAGCTCTATGGCTCCCAGTACAAGAAAGGAGCTGTTATAGTGGGTGCAGAGGAGGGCCACAAAGATGATCAGAAGGCTGGAGCACCTCTCCTACATAGACGGGATGGGGGATTTGGATTTATTCAGCCTGAAGAGGAGAAAGCTCCTCATTGCAGCCCTGCAGTACTCGAAGGGACCTAAACGAAAGACAAAATATGGCATATGAAAATTCTTTTCTCAGAGGGTGATGAGACACTGGAGCACATTGTCCAGAGAAGCTGTGAATGCCCTTCCCTGGAGGTGTTCAAGGCCAGGTTGGATGGAGCTTTGAGTGATATGGTCTAGTGTGTGGTGTTGCTGACAACAGCTGGGTGCTGGAAGTAGATGATCTTAATGGTCCTTCCAGCCCAAAACATTCTATAATTCTATATAGGCACTCCAATAGGAGAGGTGTAGAGCACTCCAATAGGAGAGAAAGTAAGAAATAAACGTAGGGACAGGCAATAGTAATGAGTTGTGGGCAGGCAACTAGATATAAATTAAAATGATTGAATGGCTGCCATTTCAGTTTATCAGCATCTTATTATTTTAACATTGAACTGTGTTTGCCGAACAGATAATTAGTTAGGAAGATACATTTTCCTCCAGGGCAATTATTAATTTCCTTTTGACTTCGAAGAAATGAAAAAGCTCTTAGTGTAGATAAGCACACCATTATATTTCACGTCTGTTTTAGATTTGCAGAGAACCAAATCTGCAACACGATACACAACTGAAAAGAAAAAAAAAACCACTTTTTTTTCATCTGTTTCAATTGCTAAACCATTACCTAATATTCATAACCAGATTAAAATTTACACACACACACACGCCAGCAGAAGCATATAAATTCAAGTAGTTGTTCTTGTGGTATCTTGTACGTTGAAAAACTCGGCAGAAGGCTAGTACTCAAATTCAAAGAAACAGGCTACTCATAGAGATGCTTACACACTACACTGACTTCTTGTACTCTGTGTTGAGCTTCTATTTAACTGAGTTAACACTGTTCTCTACTGTAACAAAAACAGAAAAATCATTTTAGGATTAAAAAAACTGGAAAAGGGATTAAAGAAAGCTCATTTTTCAACCAGGAACTGTTCAGTCCCTTTTGATATCTGTACATTTATGCTTTCCTATGTGAGCAACATTTAACTATCACAGAAAAATACTACCAATAAAGCATATTATCAGACATGAAAAAGTATCTATTTTACTATGTTGCAATTATAGAACAGGCATGAGCTATTTATTCTCCCTAAATACTTCTAGAGAAATAAAACTATTGTACAGTATTTTCAGCTTTAAACTGCATTAGTTTTTTTCCAGCACAACACACTTCCTATATTTACACAAAAATCACAGAAGTGTGAAGCTATAGATCATAATGTATATTGTTTAGTTTCACAAGGCACAGAGCTTGGCTAAAACATGTCATTTGCTGTGTCATTATGTGCCTAAACAGGACTAACTATAAACAGATTTTTTGAACATTGTTATTTATGTTCTTGTACAACAAAAAACAAAATCCTAGCCCAAATCAGATAAATGTGTCATTGCCATACAGCTAAATATATTTTAAGGGGTCAAGTGAACTATACTTATGATTACATTTTACATTTCTATTTTATATTATTATGTGTAGATGGTGTATACAGTGATTTTATATATAAAATTTATGCTTATATGACTTTGTCCTAAAATATTTTAAATATTGCCACTAGGCAAAAGAAAAAAACAAATTCACTTATTAGAAAGAAGTTTCAAACTTCTTACCATCCCAGAATGCTGGAAAATGAAGTTGAAAATCAAACAGAAGTAAATTTATCCAATTTAAAATTTTATTTTGTTCACTTCTTGCCTTTTATATTTCACCAGAATCTCCCCCTTTGAAATAACTGGTTACTATGGAGATGGTGGTAACTCACATATAGTAATGCTCACACTGCTTTTGAGGCATCTTATGTCTTACAATTCATCCCACGATTACCTCTTTTTTTTTTTTTTTTCCACTCCAAAATTAATAGTTTTAAATGTAGTTTACAAAATCAATGAAAGAAATTAAATTTAAAAAATTCATTTTAAAACTCACAGAAATGATATTTTGATAGGAATCAAAATAATCATACTTAATTAAATATATATATGCTTTATAGGCATTTATTAGATGAACTGTTATTAGACAAAACTTTCTATTTTGTTGGAAATAGAAAATTCTAGTTGTTTCTCTATATAATTAAAAAATAGAATATCCTATATATTCATCAGTAAATGGAGTAAAGAAAAGTATTAAATAAAGAAGTCAAAAGGTATGGCAGTATTCCCCTTCTGTGTTTTAAAACAGGTGGACTGGGGACAGCAGTGATATCAGAGAGAAAGACCAATTTTTTTCTTCTCTAGTCACTCATCTCATTCCAATACTCAGTTTTTAACCTGGTTATGATCTCATTCTGCACTCTTAGTAGGCTAGGATTCAATTGAGTTAAAGATTTTTAAACTCACTGACAGTCAACCTTATCATGAACTTTCATTATACGCATGTAATTAATTGGGTCCAATGAACAAGATCAGTACTGAGTTATAGACTTTTCCCCCCCACCATATAATTAGAATATAATTACCCACAGGATATCAGAATGATGCAAAACCTTTCCTCTAAATGTGCCCTCATTAGGAAACAAGTCTCAATGTACATTTATTCAATCAGTATGAATTAATTTAAATGTTACTGAAATAAAAGAGAATAGCTTTAAAGCGTATCTGACATCTATTAAAAGACTATCACTTGAGATCTCTACACACAGTTTATAATAGAACTCATTTAACTCAAGCAAAAAAACTTCACTGTATAATCCTTATATACAGTAAACAAAAAGTAAAAAGGACTAGTGGACTAAAAAGTAAAAAGTATAGTGGACAAAATAAAAAGTATAGTGGACTATATTCCATTAAACATCTAAAAGTACTGCAATGAGATATGAAAAATCTTTATGTGGAACTGAATCTAGACAGATGCATGATTATTTCACAACATACACAATAACTTCTGCATGAGTTTCCCTATGGTTTCTTAACAATTTCTAGTGTGAAAAGAAAAAAAAGAAATGTCATCCTCTGTGATACTAACATCAGGAAGAACAGGCTTTTTAGCTTATTCTTCAAAGTTGCTACAGTGGCTTTTGACATCAACGGAAATGGAAAAAAAATGTGGACTGGGACACCAAGTTGCAGTGGAGAGGCCAACCCTGTTGGTTTGGTAACTCTGGTACAATATATATTGCTGTGAAGTGCAATTTATGAAAAAAATTCTCTTTATTTTTTCAGAAAGAATCTAGGCTGGACAAGAAATGAAGAAATTACATGTAAAGGATGAGAAATACATATAAATAAGAATGTCCTTATTTCCATATGGGAAACGAGAAGGGATTTTTCCTGTACTGTTGAGGGAACAACTTTAAGAAGGTTTCTCTGTCAGAGGTGAACTTTGACACTTTTCTGGAAGAAGTCTGGAATTCCAAACGATGGATGGAAAAGAAGCCAAAGCTTTTGACAGATCAAACGTAAACTATTTTTCAACTTGTCATATTGTCTTTCCCACAACTACCTTAACTTCTTATAGGTGAGTGAATTCATTTTGGCTGGGATAGAGTTAATTTCTTCTTAGTAGTTTGCATGGTGTTGTGTGGATTTGTTACAAAAACATCAGTGAAACACCAGTGCTTTAGCTGTTTCTGAACAGTGCAGCATCAAGGCCTTTGCTGTTTGTCACACTATCTTGTCAGTAATAGTAGGATGAGGGGGACACAAATATGGGAGAGGACATAGTGGAGAAAGCTGACACAGTTAACCTAAGATATATTATCTAGATGATCTTACAGCTGATCTTACAGATGATCTTACAGCCTGTCTGATTCATGATTTGCAACGTCTTAACGCACCATTTCTATTAACAGGCACACTTACTATTACATCTTCAGAAAATTTCAGTGACTGTATGTTCACTGTTTTTGCTGTCAGTGAAAGTGCTGGTTTCACATTCACTGAGGCCCTATATTTCTCAAAAGGAACCCCCTTAGCAGGAAATGGGAGAAACTAATTAAAAAATTACTGAGATAAATAATATGTACAATGTAATAAAACATTTTTAAGAGGAATTCCTAGTAGATAGGTCACTGATGTATTTATTTGTAATATTCTCAGGATTTTAATACATTTTGAAAGAAAATAGATCAACAAATATACTACAAAACTATCAGGCTCCCATCACATCAAAACATATTTTCTATTCTAAACAATGTATAAACATAGTGCTGAAATACTTGTTTCATGTTACATCATTAGTATGCAATACTGAAATATGATTCTGATACAGGAAAACATTTATTTCTGCTTATGTCTTCCAAATTTGCAGATAAAACAAACCTATTCAAGGATGACTTTGACTCTAGAGTGGTTTTATCTATCCTCTAAACTACTTAACTAAACTCAAATTATGGAATAAAAATCTTAATTCTGCTACATCTCTTCCTCCTCTGAAAAGAAAATGGAGTTACACAAATACATGTAATCGAAGATGAAATTTCATGCAGAGGCTTTATTCAGTTTATAAAAATGGCAAACAATAAATAACAATAAAACAAAACCTGTCTAATAACAAAAACAGAATTTCTACATTTTAATATGACCTAAAAACCTGAAAATTAAATAAAGTAATGGAAAATGCAATCATCTGATAAACTTAAAATAATATTTTTGAAATTACTATTCAGAACATGCCCAGATAATATCAAAACGTCATTACAGATAAACAATAAAACTACTCTTCTGACTTTTTTTAAATACGTAAAAATATTTAATAAATATCAAAACCAGCTTTCCACTTTTTTACCTTCATTAACAGCTATGGGATACTACTAGTTTACACATGCTGAGGAACAAACTCTAGGATTCCTTCCGTATCAGGTTGACAAGTAAACAGTGAAAGGATTATTCCAAAAATAAATATATATATTACTACTAATCAGAAAGAGGTTTAAGATTAGCAGGCAAATTTTTGTACTTTCTTTTACTACTAAAAATCATTCTTTAAATCTAGGAATTTATTACTGTTACTCTTTAAATATATTTAAAGTAAGAGAACCACATGCCTGTTCTGTTATATGATGATGCTATGACTTTCATCAGCAGAAAACATCCAATTTAATCTCTGAAAACATAAGTTAATTCTGAAGACCTCTTTTTTTCATCATAAGCTGCTCAGGTCTTTTCAGTACCACCTACATATACAGCATGCATTTTTATTTTCACTGAATTGAGTTATTGTTTTTGTGGACAGAGAAATTTACTGTCCACTACTGCAGAATAAAATATACCATAATGTTGATGCATAGCTTACTGCAAGGCCCGTGTCATCATTCTAGGTAACCTCCGGCTTAGATCAGAGACCTCAGCATTGCAGATATACAATATGCATCCCAAGCAAAAACTGTCCATAAGAATAACTTCATTATTCTGGGAAGTTGGATCTATAAAAGATGTAAAACGTAGAAGTGTTCTGCCTATACAGTTTCTGGTAAGTACAGTCTGAGTAAGTGATAAAACCTGAGTCAGCTTCAGTTATAATATGCCCTACAGAAAGTTCATTCTCACACGAACGAAAATGCAATATACAGAGGATCAAGCACAACTGCACCTATAGCTAATCAGCCAGAATTACCCATTAGGTTTAAGGTTCACACAGTCCTCTAACAAATCCTCTGTAAGTCAGTTCCGCATCATTTCAGCTGTTAACTATGACAGAATCTTACATCTAGAATAAAAATACAGACAACTCACCAATACTACTGGGCAGATTGATGTGGGTGGTAAAATATGGTCCTTCAAAGGTCCACAGTCACATTCAGGTTTTAGATGTGAAGCACATTTATTATGCAACTACGAGAAGACAGAAAATAAATACTCAGCTTTGGTATTTCGCTACTATAGTCTGTGCATTCTAGAATTGAGTGAGTTTAGATATGCTAAATTAATCTCATTATTCCTAGAGTACTAGAAGGAAAATGAAACACTGAAGGGGAAAGCCTCTTAGGATTAACAAAAACAGTGAATTTATATTGAAGCAAAGAACGGTGAATCAAAATGCTTCACAGTTTAGAAACTGCACGTATAGTCCAGCACACAAAATGAGAGTTTTGCATGACAGTAAAGTAACATCAGCACAGTACTACTGGTAAACTAAACTTTCATTTCAACTTCTTACACTGAGAAAGACTTCTGTTCTACTGCCAGGGGGCAATTCAGATTAATTTGGGGCAGCCTTTGGCATTATTAGTATAACTCTCTTTCCTACCTGAAGCTTATAAACTCACCACTGATTCAATTGTGATGCTAAAATATCTTTGAAAATAGACACAAGACGAAAAAGAAAATCAGATAAGAATATCTAAGAGCTCTAAGTTATCTTGGAGAAATCATTCCATTGACTACTGAGGAATGTGAACTACCCTCCTTTTTCTACTTCACTCCTAGCATTCAGCCAGCTTTCATGAAAGCAATGAGATATATTCTATGCTGAGAATATGGAAAGAAAATCCACAAGTCTTCTGACTGAAAGAGCATTGACTTAATTCTATATTGATAAAAAGATGGGAAGGAAAAATGTGTATATAACTTCAAAAGAAAATGCCAATAAATTAATAATCATATATTTAAATATTTTGCATTATCAATCAAAAATTGTTACCAATTACTTAGGATTTAATTCAAATCAAACATGTCTAAATAGAATATTTCAACATATATATCCAACCTCACAGTACAAAGGCTCAGTTCTGTACCTGGATCTTGCAAAGCATTGACATTTACTAGTACACTTCACAATACTATTAGAGACAGCCACAATAAAATACTACAAATTTATATTGTGAGATCTGATGAAAGTTTACTACTTTTGCACTGAATAAACTGTTCATTAAAATGTTTGTACAGTAAGTATGAATATTTTATTTTGGAGAAGATATGTATATTTGCATCAAAAGATAATAAAACCCATACATTTTGAAGTAGAAGTCTGATTTATCAGGTGATCAAACTGGTTTAATGGGTAGCACACAGTATTAATTCATAGGGTTGAATAGCTGCTAAAAAATCTGTAGTTCAATAGCTGCAACTGTAAATCACACTTTATCAAACAACTAACTCATTTTTCCCTTAGATGATATAACTACGTCAGTTGAACTCTATGAAAATTATAATAAAACTATCTCAGCTATTGATGTATAAGCTTTACCAGTTATATATTCTTCATAAAGTTATCTGGAATAGTTAATGTTGACATAACATTTCTGTATATTGAACTAAATGGTACCTAACATTAGCCTTGTCCATTTTCATTTAAACTGCAAAGTTACCTTTCCAGGCAGTTACTTAGCAACAGAAAATAAAAGTCTAACGAGTTTCGATTTACTCTGAGTATTAAAGCCTTATTGTGAGGGTATTTTGGTAACCCTGTAATCTAAATCATTTGTCATGCTAATTCTCTAATTCAGTGTTATGGCTACTTGTACAATAATTAATGCACACTAGGCCACACTACATCAAATAAAAGTACCTTTGCAAATTCAGGGGTAATTAGCAGCTCTGTTACTCGGTGGCATGCAAACTTATCTATGAAAAAATAGCTTAATCTTCTTATTAGTCTCTGCTGATCATTGACAACACAACTGGTAAAATATATGTAGCTTTAATGAAAATAGCACTTTGACACAATAAAATAAAAGATGCATCTCTTCTCAAAAAATGATTTAGCAGATTTTAAAAATATTTCCCCCAAATTCCCTTTCCCTAAAACCTAGCTCGTTCAGAATATTATCAAAACCAAATGTCAAATGTCTGCAAAGTAGAAAAAAAAACACAAACGTATTTGCTGTGAGGAAAGCTTGAGAAAAGAGACATTTACAAGATCATGGTGGATGAAAGAAATATGGAGTAGCTTGGCTAAAAACTCAGTATAACGTTATACTCAGTATAATCCTTAGTACCAAACATCTCTAAATTTGGGGATTTTAATCAGTGATTTCACTTTAAAGTGATCCTGTTAATTGCAAAAAGGAGAATATCTAAAAGGCTCAGAATTAGTTCCATAATAACTAACAGCCTCTTGCACTGCAAAAACACACTAGCAATTCTGTACAAGAGGTAAAATGAACGAATGAATGATGTGATGATAACTCCAAGATATCAATTTAAAAATCATGCCTCCATTTATTTGTCATTCAAAATTCAGGAATAAATTCATTAATTCCAATATGATATCAGTGAGAAGGCACAAAGGAATCTCTCTGCCCTAACTGTGCTGTCCATCCCTTGAACAAAAGACCTTCAGTTTATATACAGGCCTCCAATATAAATCTAAGCAATTATTTTCTTACTAATTAAGAAAGTTAGTACTATTAACAAAAATAAGTCAAAACAAAAAACACCACAACAACAACAAAAAAACCACCATACAAAAAAAGTTCTTATGCAGAACTATAAGAAAATTGAATGAGAGACTGAAAGTAAGATCTAAATTACAGTGCTTCAAGTTTTAAAAAATACCAATTTTTCACTTAGGTCATAAAAATTAAATGAAGAGATTAGTAAAATTATTCTGAAAACATAATATTAATCAGAAAATAAAAAATATTTAAAATACTGATAAAAATATAACCACAGAATTATAAACTAGTATTTTTCATTCTGAATGTCAAAAGCCATATATTTATTTTTAGTAAGAGTTTGGACAGATACCTAATTATTTAATTAAGTAGACTGATACCAAAGATACTTTCAAAAGAAGTAAGCTTCTTATACACAGTAACTTCAGTGAGAAATTCTGTCTCATTATCTCCTCAGTGTTTTTACTGCTTGTGAAAGTCCCCTGAATGGAGACATGCACCTTTAAGATGTAAAAACACCTTTACAAATTTGGTCCAGACTCACATTTGGATACACAAATAGAAGGACCTGCAGAATTTAAAGCTTCCTCTGACTTCAAGAGGGAACCTTATATACTATTTCTTATTAAGCCATATTATAAGGATGCAATCACACCTCTATCTAGAGCAGAACACTATTCAATTATCTACCTAAAGAGAGACGGCCATAGCCTAAATTTAATTATCTGCATTTCAAAATTTTGGATTGTGTCTAAATAAATTATCCACATTCTGACAACAATCTGGACTACATATTTGCTTTCTTCTAAAATATTCATTTCTAAGTGATCATAACAGCTTATATCTGAAAGTATTCTGGATCCATTTACTTTGATGATGTTTCATGTTTTGCATTCCTGTGTTAAGAAAATATGTCACAAAACATCCAAACTTGTATGTTGAAAACAAACACTCACAAATGCCTTAGTCTCGCATTATTATTTACAACACTGAAAAAACAACTGCTGTTCCATAACAACAACAATAATAACATCAGCCAAAAAAAAAAAAAAAAAAAAAGAAAAAGCAGAAACCCTAGAATACCTTCCCACATAGATTTAAATCCTACACTACACTAGAAACAGAAATACTAGCATTGTTCTGTCTAGCATGAAGATCTCACTTATAAGGGCAGTGTTCCTTGAATGTCATTAGTTCCAGTTATTGGTTCCTGCTGAATAAGGAGTGCACAGAAGTTGTTATGTATCAGGCTTGGTGCACAGATTAGTATATTATCAAGATGCCTTTGCTATACTTGAAATCGCTGTATCCTACCAGATGTCCTCAATTTCATTTGCCTGACAGTACACCACAAATTAGGATTTTGCTCTAAGTTCACCACGACCTTGACTTTTATCAGTAATAAAAACTCTTTCACAAAGACTCTGTAATATATATTGGGAATTCTGTTATTTTAGAATGATGTACATTGTTCGTGTATCGTCTCGAAGCAGAGTACACATTTATTTGGTTACAACAATTACGTATTCCTATGAATATTCTGCATATATCTTAATATTCAAATATTTCTCAAATACACATTATCTGTTCCTCACAAAAAAAAAAAAAAACTAAACTAAATTAGACTTCTTGAATTACGTGGCTATGAAAAAAATGCAGATTTCACTCTCTCCAAAATGTGCTAAAGGTCTTACTACAGAGCAAATACTCACTGTAATCTGACACCAAACACAGTGAAGTCCAGTCAAACCTTGGTAACATTTTATGGTTTTATGACATTTATCACATTTTGTTGGACAATTTCCTTCCACCCAGAAATGGTGCATTACCTGCAAAAGAAAAATGTGGTACATATTAGGTTACTAAACTAATAGGTAGATGGTAAAGGTAACATTGCCCCAAACTTACATCAGTATTCTTTTTGGACTTCACATATGTTTTGATGCAAGACGCAGGAGCTCTTGAGACACAGCGTTCATGGACTGTATACTTGCAAACTGAAAAAAGAAACGTGTTAATAGATGATAAAGCTATGATGTTCCTGACTAAATTTTTATGTAACAACTCTACCAGCATGTCATCTCTATACAATCAATCCAATCAGTCAATGAAAACTCAAAGTAGACTGCTTTTTCCATGGAATACAAAAAGCCAATTAGAACAGGAAATACTATACACGTGAAAAATCCAAGAATGCACTATTATTGCATAACAGGAAATGCTTAATTAAATCAGAGCACACTACATTTTTTTGACAATAATTGCCAAATGACAAAAATATTAAAGACAAAGTCTGCCAAATGGCTTGGTGTCATCTGCTAGTAGAAGGAAATCTATATTTTACGAACTATAGGCATGAGAGCAGCTGGCAAGCACAAAAATAAAAGCCAACGAGTTTATGTTGCTCCTTCTATTGATTTATAAATCTTAAATGGTTGATTAGTCCATTTTCAGATAGCAATTGTTTTCTTTCATTCCATGTAATCACTCCAATTTAACTCTTTCTTTCCCAAATGCTGTGTTCCTCACACACACACCCTACACAAATCTGCATTAGACAACCACTGTTGCTAATTAGGTCTTTAAAGATCACCCTAGCTGCATTTGGAAAGCATGTGTCAGGGTTCAGTGATAAGAACTGACTTCCACTATAGATAGCACCACGCCTAGCTGTAATGCTCAGCTAATACCTGCATTCAGTAGAGTCAACTATTAAAAACTGAGAATGAATTTCTCACTGCATGGTATATGTCTCATGCTTTTGACCTCGACAGCAATTAAGCACAAAGTACTACTAAACACCTTGCTTGCACCTATTACACAAACCCAGTGGGAGACACAGCCATTAATCAGACAAACTGCAGGGAGTAACATTGTTGATTGGACCATGGAGGGATGGTGAGGCCCCCTGCAGTTTTTTTTTTTTTTTTTCTCCCACACAATCTAAAATGCAAATAATGAAATCTATAGCAATGCTTTGAAAATACACAGGAGAAGCTAAGTGAGATAAAGAAAAAGAAGAGTAGTTTTCTAAGCAGACTCATGTCCCATCCTGACAACTGAAAGGAGTAAGTGGAAGTTCTTCAGCTTCTCTGAGACCATTCTACTCCCCAGATAAATGCCAAGTAAAACAACAAATTAACTTAGAAGAGGTACACTGAAGCAGAGAAAATTAAAGCTCTGGTAAAGCTGGTCGTTCTGAAGAGGTTTATTTTTTATAACTCATCTACACATTTGTAGTAACTACCAACAGAGATCGACACTGTTTGCTGAATAGAACTTTCTCTTTCAAACATGTGTGTGTTGTTTCCTTGCAAGGATAAAGTTTATGTCAGTTTCTCCTGAAAGGGTATTTAAAGAATGTAGCATCTCAAGATTGAAACCAATTCAGCGTTTAATATATGCTCCACTTACCATCATCAGCATTTCTTAATCTGAACTTTCTATTTATTCAAATTGCTTTTATTACCTTTATTAACATGTATCTCTCATTCCATAGCATTGCAAGTGAAATTATACAATGTGAAAACCAATACAAAGGGATTTATATCTGAATTGGGTTTAAAGAGTTACATGGTTCACAGAGGAGAGAAAAATGGCCAATTCCAAAACCATCATTCAGTAAGTCCAATTTCAAATTGGATCAATAGAACTGTACAGTTAGAAAGGTCCTGATCAGCTGTGATGGGCTTTTATATCAAAAGTGGAGAAACTAAGAAACTGATTAATTTATCAAAATTAATAATGAAAAGTGGCTTGAAAAAAGGATACTGTCATGAAGACAATATTCATTAATCTAATGCAGAAGGGCATTACACAAACAGATTAATTGGAACCATCTACCAGACATATTCAAATCAGACATTAGGTCCTTGTTTAATAAATAAATAAACAGATAAAGATTAACAACCAAAAAAAAAGTTACGGATCATCCATCTCTTGAAATATTCAAGCAGAGAAGAGGGATCTTTTGGCAAGATTTCTGGTATCAAAATACAGCGTGTGAGTTGGTGAACAAATTATTATGACATACACAGAACACAACTCAAGGAATTGAATTGTGGTAATTGCATCCAATTGTCTAAAGAAAGTCAGATAAGATACAGTATTTATTCTTCCTTCTTTTTTCGTATCAAAATCTATAATTAATTAATATGTAAATGAATGGTGAGAATGAGACTTATAATTGCAAACCAAGTAAACATGCAAAACTTTAGAAGTGTTAGTTATAAAATCTTGAAAACAAGTTGTGAGGAAACTGAGATTTTGACCTTTACAATTAACAAAACAAGAATTACAAGAAGCATTTGCATAAATAACTATTGGAATTAGATACTATGCAAGTATCTAAGTACACTTACTAAAGTACGTTTCCAATAAGAGACAAAGTATGCCTATTAACGAATATGAATAATTACTCACAAATACAAAAGAGGAACAATAAAATATAAGGTTGTGTTTTAAGCATATTACTTGTTAAGACAGAATAAATAAAAAATAATGCAGACAGAATCCAATGGGAATGTCCTAAAACAGCGAGTTATTAAAGTAGAGAAAACAGCAGTTTTTGAAGCCTCATATTCTAAAAAATTAAAAGTATAATCTGGAGCACTTAAGCACAGGAAACAAAGGAGAAAACATCACTGTGCTGGCAATGGGTTTGTACTGGGAAGCCACCAGTTCTTTATGCAGAAACTGCAACACTTGTAGGAAAAGCTATAAACACAGACACTGAAATGCTTATACTCACAAGAACAGCAGAGACCCTGCTTGCCTACTCCGATTAGCATGTTCAAACAAAGATTACAGTAAGCAGGCTTGTTAAAGTGCTTCAGTCTCCATACATGCTGCCCATCATCTTTCACATTCTGCACAGGACATAAAAGAAACAGATTTTACTTAATAAAATAAACAATGAAATATGTAAGTGCCAATAAAAATTGAAGATTGACTCAAGAATGTAAAATACAATCTGTTACTTCATTTAATACTCTGCACCAGATCACAGTATCATCATTCTAAATTCACAAGCAATGATATAATAAAAAAATTCTTCAGAAGCTCATAGATGTCCATGTGTTTCAAAAATGACTCAGAAAATAACACCAGGCTGGTGTCTACAGTGCAGAACAATGGTAGCACTAAATCTAGGATATGAAATTGTAATTAGTTTTAAAACCAACTAAAATTTGCTCTAGACTAATCCTAAAAATAAACATGCTACCACTAGGAAAGTAAAAATCTCCAAGTGCAACAACAGAAAAGATTTTGAAAACTTCACTGATATTCTTAAAGACTCTCAGAAAGGAACATGCACCATTATATATGAAGTGGGACATAACAACTAACCTAATCACAATAATACATATTGCCAGCTCTAATTTACACTAAGCTACTGCCAATAGTTAAACAAAAAGCAAGTATTTACAGGTGGGATTTACATTCTGGAGCTCTTCTCTAAAAACTTAATTCCGTTAATTTTTTTTTTTTCCAGTTAGCTTTAGAGCTCAAATGCTGCATGGACAGACTAATCAACTCAGTAGCCCAGCTTAACTCACGCTTCAACTAAAACGTTAACAAATGTTATGAAATGTTTATGAAACTAAGCTTCCAGTTGCACAGTTCTCCCCCTTCCTTCTTAATGCAACCATTCTGGGATCTCAGTGTTGTTACATGGTTAGTAAAACGATGTGCATTTTTACAGATTGCAAATCATGAACAATTAATTCTGTAAATTCTAAATGTATAGGCAAATGTGGTTGTCAGGCTTTTTTTTTTTTTTTTAATTATCAGAGGTTTTGAATTAAAAATGAGATTAACCTAATAACATTTCACTTTAAATCTATTATTTCAATGAATATAACATCCAGTAGAACAAAAGTTGTTCACATCCATCAGCTGGAAACAAGCTACAGTTGTTTGATTTTGAATATTACTGAATGCCATGTTCTTTTTGGTCATTTCATTACAAACATAAATTGGCACATATTTAAAGGGAAACAGATCAACATGTGGTTCTTATCCAGCTTCTAATTTCTCATATTAACCTACAAGAATGTTTGTCATCATGTATGTATAATGCTCCTGACATTCTTCAATAATATGATGGTTTTCACTGTCAATGTAAGTGGACATAAATTTTAATTTTAAAATATTGTGGTTTGTAAGCATGTACTGCATGAGTTATGTCCTTAAAAGTTTGTTTCTTTCTATTCTAGAAGATAGTTGTAAATGACAAGCCTAAAACAATGAAGAATTTCCTTGTGGAAAAAAGAAGAAAAAAAAGGAAAAAAAAAATCAGCACTACAAGAAATCAGGAATACTTGGTTCAGTGGCAGGTCCAGGCCAGAACACAGTTTTGAATAATTTCTACAATTTACTTACAAACAAAATGAACTGAGATCAGCTTCAATAATTTGTTGAGATCAGAGCCCAAGTGGGGTTCCCTTATCCTACCAACAGGAGTTCAAATGCCATCTCTGGCCACTGGGCAATGTGTCCCCTTTCTGCAGAAAGATCAGAGTGGTTGCCTAATCTGAGATTCTCAGGCTGGCAGAATGTGGAAGTTTTGCAATTTCCCCTGAAGAAACAGAAATAGATTCTGCAGCTGTGGAGCCCTAGAAGCCTGTCAAGCTCCTCCATGACTGGCAGCTGAAGAGGATGTATTTCATTAAAAGGAGTCCTTCAGCTTCTTTTCTGATTTCTATTTTACTGCACCATTCAACATATTTTTAAATTATTATTAAACTACACACATTTGGTAAGGTAAGGTTCGAGTCTTCTGAAATAAAAGTTACTCACTAGAAAATAAATACCATGTATATCCTTCTGAGAAAAAACAAACAAACAAAAACAACAACAACAACAAAACAGTAAACAATTTACAGTTTCATTTCAACATATGTCACTAGGGTCATCAACAGATACAGTCATAAACTACAAGCATTTAAAATGCAGGCTCATGAATTTTGTCCACAAAAATATTTGCTATTTTTGACAAAATAACAATAATTCATGATTATGCATAAACATGCCCCTCTTCTACATGAGTTTTGTGTTACTTTTTAAATTTAAATTTTATTTTTAAAGAATGGCTATTGCATGTGAATATGTCACTTCTTATTTGAACAGAACATATGGACCAACTTAGCTGGCATTTTCCTTATCAGAAAAACAAATAAGTCTTGATGTGGGTGTTCTGCCAATTAAAACACTTAACTGTGTTACAGACTGCAACTGATGCAAATCCATTACATAAACACAATGCACTTTTGGAAAATAGCAAATTAAATTTTTGCTCTTGTGCACTGCCAAAAATCAGCAATAAAGTGCTGCATATGATTATGCATGCACATAACTTTTTAAAACACTGCCAGAGGGGAAAAAAAAAAAAAAGACATAACATGAAACAAAGCCCTCTCAATGCAAGTCTTTAAGTATGAATAAAATCCACAATTCTAACACATAGGTGCATTTACTGGCATTCAGTAATATTGCTTCCATATCCTGAGAAAGAGTTTAAAAACAAATAGTCATTAAGAAAATCTCAAAGCAGGGCAGGTACAGTAAAAATCTCTTCCTCACTTCATTATACATCACTAAAAATGAAGCCTCCATATGCCATATGCAGACTTCAGCACATAATGACAAGAGTAACATTTATTTTGTTAACAATGGCTCTCTTAACTTATGCTTCTGACCTTTCTGACACAAATTTGTTTGTAAGAGGGACCTGACCTTAAAAAGCAAATCAACTAAGAAAAAAGTCTTAGAATCGGTAGAAACTTTCATGGAATTTAGCTATACATCCCAAGTCAGATCGAATATAAATTTACCACTGCTTCTTAGATATTTGTAAATAAAAGACGACAAAGAGATCTTGAGGTTTCAAGCACAAAAACACAGATTCTGAGATTAAAAAAAAAAAAAAACACCTAAATTGCAAGATTTTTTTTTATCCCAGCAAGTATCACCCCCAACAAAAATAGCTATAGAGACTGCAATACTAGCATGCTCAGTTGTTCCTATAAGACTCAGTAACAAGCAATCAAGGGAGAAGTATGTAAGGGAGTCTGCTAAGTTATTCTTTTGTGGCTTATTATTATTTTGCTTTTATTCCTTTTACAAATATTTATAGGATCTGAAGACATTTTTATGACTGATCTTTGAGTACTGTTCTGTTACCAGGAAAGTGAGAAGTGTCTATTAAATCACACAGCACCTCATCTAAATACAAATGCAGTTAAGTTCTACATTTCTTTGCTGGATTGTCAGCAAAGAATTCACATCAGATTTTTTGTTTCTTTTGGGTTTGCAGAGGGAGAGTTTAAAGTCTGTTTCAACAGGAAAAGGAGTAATCTCATTCAAGAGACATGACCTTTGGGAAAGTTCCTAAGTTCCAAGAATTTCATTGGGGTCAGTGCGGTGGGCGGGAGTGCACAAATGTGATTGGGGCAGTTGGGGGAAGAAATATTTGAAAAACTGATACAAATTTTTGTCCACAGTCTTCAACTCACCAGTGCAATATTCTGCTCGCTGAGAAATGCTTAGGTATTAAGATGTACATCAGGAAATAACATCAGGGAACAGAAAAGGAAGCACAGGAGGGTAAATTCATTTCTCGAGACAAGTTTCATCATTAGACACACCACCATGTGTCTCTGTTTCTGAATTAGTAGTCACTAGAAATGCTAGTAATTACATTTTAGATAACGTTAAATTTGTATCTCCTTATGAAATGCTATTTATCTTACACTCAGAAAGATTTCTCCTGATTTCTCCTGGACTTTTAACAACCTATAGGCAAAAGGACAGGAACTTTCAAACCTCCTACAAAGCAGTAGGAGCGAGCGTAGCATAGAAGTAGACAGCACAGTCAAAAAAACTGCTATGCAAACTTTTTTTTTTTTTTTTTTTTTTTTTCCAGCTCCTGGTATGAAGTCTCACAAAGTATTAACATAACTCCCTCTGCCGGCAATGACACGCAATGATATTGCTAAAATAGCTCTCATGATCGCTTAGGGCAAATTTACTTCTAACTGGAGAGTTAGCACTCAGAGTGTAGGTATGCTACAAATTCTAATATAGGCAGGCAAATCTCCCTTATTCCTCTCTGAACGAAAGGAATATAAGTTTACCAAACTGCCTGAGTATTAACCATTTCAGTGCTCAGCCTGAGAGTCTCCTCATTGTGCAAAAGATCCAACACCATACTTGAAAGTGTTCTCAAATCGCCAATTTTATTCCAATTTCATATACTCAGAGCTCAAAAAGTAAATCATCAATAATGTAATAAACAGTATAAAAGGCTGTGTTTCCCACATGTGAACTCACGCTCAAGTATTCTATTGCATTCTATTCAAAAGTTATCTTTAAATTTTTTTACTATAATATCAAAACATTTGCTGCTTGATGATCCAAAGAAAAACTGTACGAGCATTGCCTTCTGTGTTAATTGAAGGATTTCTGTAAAAGTGTGATGATGCTTATGCCACACTGAGATGTTTATTTTATAAATGTTCAGAGTACATTTGCTTCAGGAGAGGAGATGAAGTAGGTAGAATGTATTAAAAGACAGACATAGCAGCCTGTTTTCAGATTATTGATGACAATTTATGGTAGTTATGAAGCATTTCCTGAATTGCTGAATTTTACCTTAAGGCAGCTTTCCACCAGGTATAGATTACCAACTATAGTGCAACGGTGACATCTAGTGGTCACTGAGGAGGGAATAAAATACTTTCCACTGCTAAAATTAAAGACTTTTATACACCAGTGCCTCGAACTTGCAGTTTACAGCTAGATACTCACTGCAGAACCACCGGCAGAGAACAGTCTATTAATCCACATTAAAGTAAAATATATGGAAAAAAACACAATTGTTATCCTAACCTTTTTTTTTTTTTTTTTTTTTTTTTTTTTCTGTTGAATTACAACACTTTCTTCACCCATGTGAACTTCAGTTTCTTCAACTTATGGAGTAGTGTTTAGAAACTAACCCACAGTGATATCAGGTTACAGAATTTTGATCACTGTTTATGTATTTTTATTGTTTCCTCAGTAAAATGACTAGTTATTGTCTAATAACTAGTAAAAATACTCAACAGAATAAATTGTCTAATAATGTACATTTACACAGCTTCCTTCCAATAACACGGCTTTTGATTTAACATGAAAATTATCCTCTACAAAAAGACTTACATTAATTTACCACAGAATTAAGTTGTTTTAAATTGAGAAAGAAAGAAGTGCAGACACTGCAAAATGCTCCCAGAAAAACTGCAACATCTGTTGCAAATGAGAAATACATATTGAAAATGACCATCATTTATCTCCTACACTAATTTCTACAGAGAATTTGCTACCCTGTGCTTAGGGTAAATATGTGGAAATAAAGGAATACAATCTGACATAGACTTGCCTTTTGATGACAGGAAAGTAGTACATTTTTTTCCACTGAGCACCAAATATCTAGAATTAGGAAATTAGTACATACAGTGATCCAAATGGACTGTAAGTTTTCATCAGTTTAGCTATTTCTGTGGTAAGTTGATTAGTAAGAGCTAAATGTTTGACTATTATTATTTTGCAAGAATGTTATGTCTTCTGCTAAATGCACAGTAGTCTTTTATATGGAAAATCTGACTATTCCTAGTGAAATAAGATACTATGGAGTGACTACAGCCTAGATTTAGTTCAGGACATAGCACTGAACGGAGAAAGGTAAACGTGTGTAGTTTGACATTAGTATCTGGAAAAGACTTCAGAAAAGAAAATGTTTTATATCAAACAAAAAAAACCATTTGAAACGTATGCTAAGATACACATGCTCAAAATGAGCAAAAATACAGGACAGCAGGTGGCACTGGCAACATGCCAGAGCTAAAACAGCTGTTTTAAACAGGTAAAAATTACTGATTGCATTATATTTCCTTATCTTTAATAGGATGTTGTAAATGTATAGAGCCTAAGCTCCTCTTTCACTATACTACATCCTTTGGTCTAAGTGTTCACTCCGATGCTTTTTCTTCATACAGTTTATTAAGCTAGTTAAAAACATGGAAGAATATATTCACACTGATATATTATGATAGGATAAGAGTTAGCAGGCAAGAATCACTGAAGGAGAAATTCCGTCTTGATATGAAAAAGAAATCTTTTTCCCTTGAGAGCAATTAAACTTTGGGAGCAGCCACCCACAGAACTAGGCCCATCTCACTGGAATTGTTCAAGACTGGATTTGAAAAGGCAGTGGATAAAATAATCTGAAGCCTGCTTTCAATATGATGCTGGTCAAATGATCTCTAAACTCCCTTCCAGACTAGACTGTCCCATAATCCACTGTAGTTAAGCTACACAGCACATGTGGAGTTGCCAAGACACCACTCCAAGACAGCTGTAAAATATGCATGGGTAATAAAACATTCTTACAAGATGCTTCTGCAGCTAGCAATTCATTATATGCTGTCAATAGAATAAACTAATGAGCTTTTCATAACTTTCAGCTTCAGTGCCGATGTTGTTTCAGACATTCAAATGTAGCTCTGACTTTGAAGGCACACTGATGTTTTTTATACATCATTCATAGTAAATGCATGTAAGAGATTATTCTTTTACATCATTGTCTCAAAGCTTGCTGAGGACACAGATGAACAAGTTCAGGCAAGTCCTGGGCACGGGTTCAGAAATCCTTTGTCTGGAGAACTTTGATGGACAAGTCCTGGGCAAGGGTTGTGAAATCCTTTGTCTGAGGGGCACAGATGGACAAGGCCAGGGGCAACGAAGAGAGATAAGCGGCAGCTTAATGGCCGTGAAGCGGTCTTTTGCGTGGGCTTATCTCCAGGAAGATGGCCATCTCATATGACTCTTGCTCAAGCACCCAGGGATGTCATGTAGGCAGGGAAAGAAGAAGGATAAAATGGGGACCTACAATCTTGAACAATGTGAGGTTCTCTGGCAACAGATTCCTCATGAAGAAGAGGTTTCTGCCATAAAGAAGCTTCACGACTTGCCTCTCTCTCTCCCGAACTTGCTCTGCATTCTCTCCCTCCTGGACTTGCTCTGGACTCTACCAGTATGCTGAAGAAGAACAAAGGTGTCTGCCATCAGATTCCTCACTACGGAATTCCTGCATGCTGATGGACTCTACTGGGCCCGCGACCTGAATCCTGCTGCTTCCCACTGGACTGGCTCTGCGACTGCCTCCTGCTACCTGCTTGCTGCCCAAGGCTGGCCACGCTGCTGCTCTCCCCCTGCTGCTTCTGCCTCGGACCTTCGAAGCGGCGTGCAACGGGACCGCTGCTGGATCCTGGTGGTGACTATCCCCGCTTTATGTGATTCTTGCTTCTTTCCTATCTTTTTTATCGCCCTCCTTCCCTTCCTTGTCTACCCTGATTAGGAATTGTAATAAACTGGTTGGACTAACATATGAACTGTTGTTTCTTACTTTCACATCGGGTATACAGATATTAAAAGAACCTCATCTCCCTCCTATAAATTGGAGTGAGACAATGCACAGTAAAGACTAGTAAAGCCATTCATTATAAAGGTTATAGAGAAAAAAGACTTGAGGACCATGCTGACATGCAAGCAGAAACTTGACACTTTGATGTTAATACTTACATTCTCTAATCCAAGAAGGACCAAGAGTGGGATTGTTGTCATTCCTCCTTGGATCCACTCTTCTAGAGAAACAGTGCCATCATGATCATAGTCAATTTCTTCCATCATTTCATGAAGAATCTACACAGTTTAATGAAAAGGCTAATGAATTCCATATTCTAACATAACCAGACACATAGGATCTATGATCTCTCATCTATGTGCAAAAAACCCACATAATTTATATGGTACCTATACAAGCCCTGCCAGTTCAGAAAATGAAATGCAATATTTATATTTACATTCTAATAGAATCTAATATTAACAATTATCACTCAATATCCCAAACAAAATTTCCCCTTGTGTACTATGTACAAACAAGAGACAATCAATATTAAGACATTTTCAGGATTAAATCAGTTGCGTTATACATATCAATTACTATATGCACTGAAGAAAAGCATTCAACTTTACCAAAGAATGCTTTACATAGCAGATATAATCAGAAAAAGATTTGAAAAAAGTGTTAATTTACAGTGCCACAGTGAAGCACATACTATTATTATTTCTATCTTGTTATTATCTAGAATCTCACATTGGCATGAAGAATCACAAAACAAATAAAAACTGCCTCCATAACCACAAAAGCTGGTGATGCTTACTGGGCTCAGTTCAGTAATATCCCATTCAAGGTATTCTGCCACATGCATCATTTGTGCAATGATATTTTCCAGCTCCTACAGATGACAGAAAGAATTATCGTATTTAATGCAATATTAAAATTATAAATTCTACTGCAAGCAATTCCTAATTCAAACCTATAGCGTTCAGTGACTATTAACACGGAAACATACAGAAAAAAAACTTCTAATCACTAACTGATAAAAAAATCTTTTTTTTTTTTTTAATTAACTTTTCACCATGTGAAACTGAAAATCAGAGACCCACTGAGCAGAACAAGAAAATTACTATATTTTTTAAAAGCAAATACTTTACATAGATGCATTTACCTTCACACACACACAAAAAAAAAAGTGTTTTCTGTGTGAGAAGAAGGAACTGGGGGTTCCTACTTGGCATGCTTCCTTAATTAGGAAAAAATCTATTTTCCTTACTTGACATGAAAGAAAAACTAAAACTAAAAATAATTAAAAAAAACAACTATTTTTTCTATATTATCTGACTTTAATTTTTTCTCAGTGCAACGTCCAGGACTACTACTCTGACTTCAACTTCATTAATTTAAAGAATCAAAACTAATGAGGTTGAATTATTTAGATTTAAAATTCAAAGATTTCCCCCTATAGTCAGTCAGCTGAAGAATGCACTAGGCAGAAATTCTATATTAATATTAATGGTAGGAAATAAGTATACATGTATCATCTGACTGGATTTTAACAGAGATGTCTAGAGGAATGTTATATTTTCTTTAACTGTTAAGTAAAACAAAACAACAAAAAAAGTTACATAAATCTTGGAACACTTGGAACACATCCTCATATAACTATAACAATCAACTGTAGGTTAAACCTGCAGGTTAAATTAAGTAAGAACTATGGGGACACATGACCTTTTCACTTAAATCTCAAAAGGAGTTAAAAATGATATACTGTATACTGCTATATGTATGACTTGATTTTCCGAAGTGCTGGACATTTGTATACAAGGCAGACAGTCAGAACATCTGAAACTCAGGTATGGAATGCCTTCCCATTTTAATGAAATCTTTGCTGATGTTGCTTTCATATACATCTCCAAGAGGCATATTAGAGTTTTAGGAGCCATATTAATGCATCCTGTATAGTAATATGATTAAAAATAAGAAGAATATAAAATAAGATTTCACATTAACATTGTCAGCATTTGAAAATGTTTATGGTTGAAGAAACAGCAGCTTAATGGAAGAAATACTCAAAGTTTGCTTTCAAAACAGGAAATTTTCTATTGACTATAATTTACAGTGGTTCTATTAATTCAAGATTCACATCGTTTTTTATAGCTATACCATTAGGACATAGTCTTAAAACACAACAATATATTTAAAGTTACCGAACTATCCAGGTATCCATTTCCATCTGTATCATATAAACGAAACATAACTAAAAGGAGGCAAAAAGAAGGAAACACAATTAGAAAACATAGTAACAATATTCTTTAATTAAAAAAAAAAAAAAAAAAAGACAAGCAGAGTTTCAAAAGACAAGCATTAGCATGACTATACTAACTGCAGATCCACTGAAGATTTTGCAGTACATGTGGTTCTCTCACTGAATCTCCTACGACATTGCCTCCAGTGAGACATAACTGCACCCTTTCCACACAGTCCCTTCAGAACCTCACCTGGGTCTGTGAATATGTTCCTGGTTTTTCTCAGAGATGGTCTGATCTGCACTAACAGGGACTACCACCAAAAGACTCTCAGACATGACATCACACACAGGAAAACATGCAGTTCGTCAACCAAATATTCATAAGCACACTTAAATTACAATGCTATTCAACCCTCTTGACTGCAGCTATTACTATTGCTTTAAAAATGCTTTCTGATCTACACTAAATGAAATAGATGATTATTATTTTAGTACCTAATCAGGAGAATCCAACAGAAAACATTCCTCACAGGCTGCTAGCACGAATCCTACCTGTACCAGACTAAATTGAAACAGTCTTGCCAATATGCTGAAGATCTGCCCACACAAGAATCATTGCATTTTGGTGATATCCAGAAGAAATACATACTTTCAAGTTTCTATCACTACCTGCCTCCAGCCACAAGACTGGGCATATCCACTATTACAAAAATATTTCAAAGCATTTTCTTCAGCTGATCATATATAGCAAAAGACTGCAAAGCAGGAAGAAGCTTGAACCTTTAGTAGAAATTCTTCTAAAAGCCTAAAGATGAAAACCAGGAGTCCAGGCATGCCTCACTCTTTGTTCCTATCATCTGTGATGCAGCTTGTCAGAGTTCTGAACTCCCTAATCCCTAGAAGATCTATTTTCAAAGAAGTAAGAAGAGAGCTTATCTACAGGTGGTTGCAGGACACTGTTATGCCTCAATTCATAGCAAAACCCAAGCAGTAATCAACTTATTAGATGCCTTGGAAAAAAATTAAGTTCTGGCCTGTTCAGCAGTGAACAGTACCACACAATAGATCCATATGAAAATGTTCCCACAGTCCAGTAAATTCTGCAAGAAAAAGTTCCTTCTGCAAGAAAAAGTTTCCATCAGAAGAGGGGTGGCCAGCAGGGACAGAGAGGTGATTGTTCCCCTCTACTCTGCTCTTGTGAGGCCCCATCTGGAATACTGCGTCCAGGTCTGGAGCCCCCAGTACAAGAAAGACAGGGAGCTGTTGGAGAGGGTCCAGAGAAGGGCCACAGAGATGATCAGGGGGCTGGAGCACCTCCCCTATGAGGACAGGCTGAAAGAGCTGGGCTTGTTCAGCCTGGAGAAAAGAAGGCTGCGGGGTGACCTCATCGCAGCCTTTCAGTACCTAAAGGGAGCCTACAAACAGGAGGGGAATCAACTCTTTGAAAGGGTGAGTGACAGCAGGACAAGGGGACATGGTTTTAAGCTGATGGAAGTGAGATTTAGGCTGGACGTCAGGGGGAAATTCTTTACGGAGAGAGTGGTGAGGTACTGGAACAGGCTGCCCAGGGAGGGTGTGGATGCCCCGTCCCTGGAGGTGTTCAAGGCCAGATTGGATGGGCCCCTGGGCAGTCTGGTCTAGCATTAGGTGGAATCACTGAACTTTCCACCACAACATCAATACTAGCCAATGTGATCTCACATTAGTCTTAAGAACTGTAATATAAGATTGAAGATTTTTACTCTAGTACTCTGTTGCAAGTTACAAAAGTCCATTAATTACTATGGACTTTTTAATTATAACTAATTAATTATAGGTCTAAAAAACCTATACAAATATGTTAGCCTGTGAATTACGTTGCTTCTGTGGAATATAACAGTATTAAAGCCATCAGAAATTGTAACATCTCTGCTAATACACTTCTGCCAAAGCTGCTGAGCTGTGCTCACTTTAAGACAGCTAATATTATATGGCAGAAATAGCATTAAGCATTCAGTTTCCATAGAGAATCACTGAATCATTAAACAATAAAGTCATTTGGTTCTCTATCCTCCTCCAGCACTATTGCAATACAACAGTTGAAACGTTCTACAATTATCACATAAGCAACAGGTGTTTAGCATCTCCCTTTCCATTCCTCTTTCCAGAGAAGCAGTGTTTCCAACTAGTATATTATTTTTTCCTTTAACACCAATCAGTACTTCAAAACTGTCATTTGAAAAAACATTAGTACAACTATAACTGTTTCACTTCTATAGTAAACAAAGTCTCCACTCACATATGCATTAGGTATCTGTGTGCTTCTTTAGACTGAATAACTACCCAGCTGGCATGGTATGCAATCATTTTCCTTTCACACCCTTCTAAATATTTGTGTTCTTGCTTATTTACCCAATCTAAGTGAAAAATGAACTACAACAAAACGATAAAAACAACTGAGCAAAAATCAAGCCCAAGTTAATTCTTTATATTCCTTTCTCACTCCCTTAAATGGCAGCACTGACTGGCCACATATATCTATTGCAAGAGTACATACTTCTTGCAAATGATGTATAAATGTATTAAAAAATAATTGAAAATACTAGATCACTTTCTGCACTGCTGTAGTTTCCCCTGCAACTTCTGGATTTCTAAGCATGGAAGTTATAAAAGATGGCATCCCCGAAGCACCAAAAGTTGTAAATTATAGCCTTTCAAGAAGAAATTGGGGAACTGAAGATATGTGTCCAACATCCATGGACATACTGAGAAAAACATACAAATTAAGGAAATGGTCTGTGCTGATGTCATGTCCCTGATAAAACTCAAATAGTTGTCAGCTAAAATGACTTCCACCATTGAGGTCACTAAAGGAAGAGAAGTTGAGCCATGAAATACCACTGTTTGCTTCCTGAGAAGTACCCTGCATATTTACAAGAGGCTTTTCTTACACATACAAGAATGACAGTGTGGGAGTACAGAATAGTTTCTACAGATCAAGTTTACAAGTTGGTCCACAGAGCACAGAGGTACTTAACATCATAGATGTACCATTATCTATATGTAGTATGCCCTTAAACAGCGAACTTGAATTATTCCAATGCATGTCTTTTATGACAGTTTGGAATATATTTAGTCCATACGTGGTTTGAGAACAGATATGCTGAGTGTTTTAAACACGTGAGTTTCATTGTATTGAAGACTTCCAGGAATACAATGCTAACAGGTTAAAGAAGCTATACATCTGCTAAAATATTTGTAAATCTATGAAAAACTGCTGATCATATAGATTCAAAGTCTAAATAAATAAAATCCTTTTGGTGCATTTTATCTTTAAAAGTCCTCCAGTTTATGTCAGGTTTTACTTGAGATCATCACTTCCATGTTCTGCTTGTCCTGAATCTAGTTTCCAAACACCCTGCTAAAACTCAGTCTTTGTCATTCTTTTATCAACAGAAAATTGCAGATGTGAGATTAGTATTAACATTAACATTGGCAATTCTGGAATTTTTTTTTTTTTTCCCCTCCACTGCAACTACTTTTTATTCTACTTTGCAGCCACAGAACCTACTATTATACAATTATTTCAGACAAAGAGTTAAATTATATCATTTATTTATAAGGAGAATTCAGATATATCATTAGGGAAATCTACATACTAATGGTATGATGTAGTCTGAACTTTATAAGCTAAAAAGTGAAGGAGTAGCATATAAATCTATGCAATAACCATACCCTTAATTCATGTAATAAATCCATATAACCTCGAATGTATTTAATATATAAATACATTTATTAGATCAGGCTTTAATTCATAAATCATACATAGTCTTTTCCTACACAGTTCCTGCTTGGAAAAATCTGTGAAATATTCTCCACATTAGAAGAATCCTGTTCTTTCATCTCCCTCCCTTTTTCATTGTACTGGTTTCTGACACGAGGGGAGGCACTTGCTCTTCTTTTCATGTTATGCTCAGTGCATACAGCTCCTCACAGCTCTAATATGGTTTGCATGAATTGCTATATGGTGAAATAGTTACCATATTGTTAGCTGAATTCAGTCCTAGAATCCTAGTTGCCATTTGTTTGTGTTTGAAATGCACACAAACAAATACCTCATTTTTTAATAACATAATACTAAATTATTATTATCAAATTTAGGGCTGACTCCCTATAATTTCTGTCAGTAAATTTACAGTACAAAATTTTAATTGTAACTTAAGTATAGGTAAACAAAACATCAGAGTTCTTCAAAAACACATGGTCAGTTAACCTTGTAATGCATTTCTTTCTCCAACAGCTTCCTGTTTCCTATCATACTAAACATTTGTTTTCCATATAGCACTGAAGCCTGATCCCAGAATTTTGATAGTTTTGTATATTAAAATATACCTGGTCTCTAGAAGAACTTTGATCGTTTACCTGTCTTAAAATTAGCTTCTAAAACTCCATAAAGGAGAAACATATATTTTCTTTCTTTTTTCTCTGATTTGCAGATCACATTGTTTTGTTTCTCTTTTTTTGTTGTTTTTTGTTTTTGTTTGTTTGTTTGCTTGTTTTTGTTTTTTTTTAGCAGATAGAGGTTTTTGGCTTTATTAAATGAGGCCCCTAAATCAAAAATCAAAGTAATCCTAACTCTCAGAATCAAAAGTTCATTGCACTACCAACAGCAGTATGGACTTGGATTACTTTTCACTTTCTTGAATTCACAATAGATCCCAAAGCCCAAATTCTTTGTCTGAATTAGTTCATTTTCTACAGATTATTCATCACTTCTTTATCTACACTGCATAGCATCTACAGTGTATTTGCTTTTGATATAATTTTTCATTAGTTTTCCCTGAAAACAAATGTATATATAGAAGTAAGTTTATGTTTAAAAAAAAAAAAAACAAAAACAAAAAAACAACAACATACATTCTAGCTTGTCTTCAGGTCTTCCTCTTTCTAGCAGTGATAAATAACAAACAATGTCTTTCAGCTGGATTGCATCCGGTAAATTCAAGTTGGCAGGTGTAGGAGGTCGGGATGTAGAGGTACCTTTGTTAAGTCTCAGACCTGGAAATAAAATACATCCTTTGTTACTCTTAATGTAGGATGTAACCAGAGAATACAATCCAGAGCTTTTATGTACATCATGCACTATTTTTCAATTTGAATCACATCTGATTCCTTAATTTAAATCAAGCTATGAAATTTTTGATATACATAGTTTATCCAAAAAAATGCAGAATTAAAATGAGAGTGAGATACTGCACAGGTAAAGCAAATTTAATAGAAATAAATCAAGTATAGGAACAGTATTCCTGCTTTTCCATTTACACTGACCTGATATCATTTTACTGTAAAATAATTTTGGTGAATATTTTTATTACATGGTACATACATGTTAAATTAAGTAACAAAGCAATCCCTGCCCAACTCTGTATTCATTTCTCAGTGCTTGTAAAAGTTTTTTTCTAATTACAGATTGTTTACAGATATAATATTTAGATGTTTTAGTGACAAAGAAAACTCTGAAAACACTGAAATGTGTAATCTTCTCCAGAACAGAGCTAGTAGTGTGTCACAGCAACACGTATTTAAAACGTGGAAAACCTGACTACAGAATATTAGGAAAATATACATAGAATTTAATTAACTGTCATAATTGCTCAAATGCCATGATTAAGTAAGTGCAAACTGGTATGCAAAAAATAAAATTTGAGTGAAGTTCATGTTTTCAGGCAGATACACAGTAAATGTAAATATTTAAATGAAAAACTAGATCTAATAGAATTATATTCTACTAGTGGAGCTTGCATGTCAGTAAGTAAAATTAAAATTAAGATAGTATAAAATGTTACTAAGATGCTATCTTTAATCAAACAGTTTACACAAATAGTGCATGTGAATCCTATGCACAAAATAAAAGTTATAAATCTGAGACCTACTCGTCTTAAAAAGGCATAGTCTCACATTCCACTGAAAAATGAAAATGATATATGAGCTTTAAGTTTTAGATTATGATCAGCTACAAGGTACAAGTCAAATCATATTGAGAAGTGGAAGCAAGGTGGATACCATACTGACTTACAGCACTGATGCTTACCTGGCATCTGTTTCCATCTCTCTTCAGACACTTTAACTGAAAATACAATTTATAAACAGGTGTGAGTGGACTGAAATAAGCCAAGCAAAAAATGGGCACGTAGAGAGACTTATGACCCCGCCTGTGATCTTCACTAGCTCATGTGTTCCTTCTCAATTTCCAGAAGAATGTCAAATATATCTGACAGATTTCTTTCTCAATATGATCAGGTTTTTTCCACCACTGTTAACATTTAAAGACTGCTAGATATCCTAAAATGAAACTTTCTGTAATTTTCATTTGCACATGACCATGTACAAGCACCTACTTTTTCACTTTGAATGCTTCAAATTATAAAAAAATAAAATCTAGTTTAAATCTCAAGCAATCAAATTGTCTTTATTCTCAGGCACAAATAATGATAATTCTTGCATGAGATAAACTGCACTGTCTCTCTAAATGTGCAATTTATCAATCAGCCCTTCTGGCATTACACTATATACATACGGAAAACTACTAAATTGAAGATGAAAATGAACTACTAAATAGATAAAATGTGTGAGGGAGAAAAAGTTTGAGTTAACAGCCATTGTACGAAACCTAGAATACAGTTTTAACAGTAGAATTCACTTTTTTTCCTCTTGTTTTTTAAACTGCTCCAAAAGTATCAGAGAGAATTACAACAAAAGCAAAGCTGAGGACAGTCTATACTGGGCAGAATTCAGCAATAAATCTGACAGTGACCTACAAAAGCCACTATCATCTCTATGTAAAAAGTGTCAAAGCCAAATAAACTCAATACCAGAATAATAAAATATGAAATTGTTATTATCAGGCAACTTTTAAATTGGTGGCTGGTATGATATATGTCTATTGCTACTGATTCTCACTTTAGAATGAAAACTTCAAGGAAAAATTAAAAGTAATGACAACAGAAATTGTGTAGTGGATACATCATAGGCAACAGAATCTCTATGCAGAGCAGAAAAAAAATGCAGTGCTGAAAATATGTAATACATTAAACAGCCATCACAAAAATGAGGCTGGATTCAGTGGGTGATACCTGAAAGTGTACAATTAATACTGTACACTAAAGCATCTACAGAAATCAATAGAGCTAGCATTTTAACTAGTAGCATTTGTATCAAATTCACAGTTTCTGCATAAGTAGCAATTTGAAGAAACCTAATCTTAATATGAAGAATTCCAGCAATTAAGAACCCATCAAACCATTTGGTAAAATGTTCTAAATGCTTGATTATCCCAGCTGTTCAGTATATGAAATTTATTTTTTTAAATTAGCCTAACTTCTACTTTTAGCCACTTAATTTTGACAGAGTTCCCAAATTAGTACTGTGCCAAATCAAAGATTTCAAGTTAGGATAATCATGTTAAATCTATCTCCAAGAATTAATGAAAAGTTTTATAAAGTTTTCTAAGTTGAAAGCTTTAAACACTATTTTGCCTGGAAGTATTTCAACATGTTATCATCTGCACTTAGGATCATGTTTCATAAAAATTAATGTAGCATTAAAATTTTACACTGCATTAAAGACGTAGTTTTTACACTGGATAAAAGAACTATTGCTAAATGTTCAGCATTTAAAATATCAGTAACTGTAAGTATTTAAGATTACTAAGAGCAGCATCATAACTAATTAAGAGAAGCAGGAGTAATTGGGTAGAGAAACTGTGAAGCACAGCAGAAGCCTTCTGCATGAGGCTCTGAAGGTTTTTAAGTGTTTATAGTAGTCAGCAAGACCATGTAGGCATAGCAATTTGATTAGCATTAATGGAACAAATATCATCTACTTTGGTGCCTGAGCTGTAACACTGCTGTGAATTAAAAAGATGAAACCATTAAATATCCATTTGTCTTCACAATATTCCTTGCTCATGCCTGAGTAAGGTTATCCAATTCCATAAATATCAGAACAAAAAAGAAGTGCACATTATTTAGAATTCTACATATTTATCACTACTGGAAAGTAAGTGGCAGGGGCATGTGACTTCCAATTCTTATATTACTTTGACTGAACAATGAAAACACAGTAGCAAAAGGATATAAATTAGCAACCGAGGTCATTATCTTACATGATATAAATGGTTTTGTTTTTTTTTTTTTAATCTGCAAGCATAACAAATTCACCAATCACTAAACCAATTGACTTTAACAACCTGAAATTACTTTGTGTTGTTCACCAATTATGTGTTTCTTAGCTCTTTCATTACATTACATATAAAGAAGAATAACCAAGTGAAAAAAGAGAAAAACAAATTATAATCCAATTAGTTTATGTATGGACATACAAGATATCTCTGTACTACATAAGGCTTTACTATCATATTTTCCTTGTTGGTATATATGTCTGCTAAAATATTCCTTAACATTATAGATATAGATTTCTAAACTCCTGTCTCATTAATATTAGCCAAGGTGACAGCAATAACTAAATCCCTTATGCCACATTTTTCTATTTATATGCTTAGAACTGTGCCTGGGTAGGATATGAGCTAAAAATAAGGTTAAATTGTTGTGCTTCCTTCTTCCTGCTACTCTCTTTCTGAATGGGATTAAAACTTTTCATTATTTTCTAAAGAAGTTCAGACCAGTATTTATCCTTATGTCCTCCAAAGCAAGTATTCCAAACATATTTTCTGGCTATGGAAAACAATAGATACTATCACTTGGTTGTCATGTCTACTTAATATTTTTGGCACACTGACTGCCACTGATTGTAGTACGGTGCCTAGCAGAGGAAAAAAGAGAGTGGCTGTTCTAAAAAGCTGTTTCAGTTAGATTTATTCAACTGAAAGTTCTTCATCCTCTGCTCTCTTCCCCCCATGGAAACAGCAGGATTCATATAACAAATCAGATGTCATACACCCAAAAGTTCTCAAATGAAGCTGCAAGTTCAGCTAGGAGCTGGTAAGTGAATTAAATACATATCAGAAATGTTGATAATTGTCCAAAATAGAGATGAAAAAAACACAAGCTGTACCAAATGAATGTGTAACAGTCCTGCCTTAAGAAGGCCTATGAACAGATGCCTGCAATAAGGTTCTTGTCTATATAAAAAAGACAAAATCCTTGATTCTAAAACTCCATAGCTGAGTAACACTTTGAAGACCCGCGTACTCAGAACAGATTATCCTAATAGGAACTAACAGGTACCACAGTAACATTTGAAGATTTGCTTTTGTAAATGTCTCTAGAGTACATAGCAAAACTGAGCTAGACTAGGAGGGCTGGTAGTAGTTTAGATTATTCACAAACAAAAAAGGGGACATTTTTCATGGAAGGCTCACCTACAAATATTGTCAATGTTTTGACTATCATCTCTCTCACTGTAATATACATAACCATTATAGAACAGCAGAAAAGAATAAAAAAGAGATTAATATCTTAAAAGAAGTCCTGGGAGGACCACCGTGAAAGACTCATGTTACAGGTGTACTAGTCTCACTCATTTTTAGTCCTGAATGTATTTCAATTCGAACAGAACACGTAAAGATATGAAAACATTTGCTGAAACTCAGGCAAATGTAAACTAACTTTCACAGAAGAGAAGAACAACACACAGTATTAAGAACATTTTCCTTTTCTGTAGTCATATGTTAGTTTTATTTTTTCCTCGTGAAATTTTACTGTTCAAAACTATGAAAATGCCTCAGTAAATAAATAGCCTTTCTCTAATTGCTAGCATGCTTTCTCTGCACCAAAGGGACCACACAATGCTTTGGGAACCAAAAAGTGGGGGGGGAAAAAAAAAAGATTTTATATATTTTATTACGATTTGAAAATAATTTATAACTTTTGAAGAATTCATAAGCATTACTTAACTAGTTCCTATCAATAATATAGAACAATACATAAGATATAATCATGGATGTTGTTTTCTTAAGCGTGCATGCTAATTGCTTAATTCTCAACAGTTGCTTGGCTTCCAGAAGCTCCAGCTGAATTCAAATGAACCTCTGAAAGAAAGTTTTAGCATTTTGGAAAGCATTTTCCATGATGCTTCCCAAATGAGAGAATGAGAGTGTGCACGGAGGTACTAAATTGACCACAATTAACCTGACACACGTATTAATTCATTCCATTTCACAGAAGACAAGTTGGGAGATTATGGTCACAAGTTTAGTAAAACAAAATATAGAGGATAAAGAAGGACATGCTCAAAGCAACCAATAACTAGAGGAACATGAAAGAACTTCCAAATCATTTTGGCCTAAATTTTATGAGGAAAAAAAAATAGCCTGTTCTGTTTTAGCTGTGATACAAATAAAAAAAAGTACCAAATGCTTCGTAAGTAGGCCACAGAAAGGTAGGTGTCCTTATAATTATTATATATAAATGAATTCCTATTGTATCTTTTAAATAACTGATTTGCCAATTTTACTGGAACACCATTTCCTATCTTTTACAATTAAAAAAATAAACTGTATGAAGAAAAGCTATATAAATTGTAATTTGTAAAACACTGTAACTTTATAGCAATGTTTGAGTAATGAAATTTTATTTGGTACTGAAATATTCTGATGCAAGTCCAGAAAAGTACACATTCAAAAGTACCATCAAGGTTCTGCTAATTTAAAATATAACATTCACATAAAAATTAATTTCACTACTAAGAAGCAGCTTCTGTATTCATCCTCTCCCAGTCATACATTCTTATCACTGTTTCCAATCACCTAAAATTTGAAACAAAACAAAACAAAACAAAACAAAACAAAAAAAAAAACTTATCTACCAAGAAAAGAAAAGGAGAAAGGACAAAAGGCAGAAGTATTGATCACTTTCAGCTTTTCTGGAAGCAGATATTAAACTGGACTCACTATGACTCAAGGCAGAGGAAAATTAAAATTATGCATCTTTTTAATGTCACAAATTGTCAGAGATAATCCATAACATTTAATTAACCATCAACCAAATTTCAAAATTAAAATCAAACTGCCAACAAGCATTTAATCCATAGGTATTGTTTAAGTTCCTCCCTCACCCCCCAACCAATTTTAAACCAATCT